CTGTTAAAAAATTTAAAAAAGTGAATCATGTCTCCTCTTTGTCTTTTTTTTTTTAAGGTAAACAAGTTAAGAGCTTTTAGACAGTTCTCATAGTTGATTTTCTTGAGTGTTGGTATTAATCGAGTTGCGCGATGTTGAACTCTTTCTAATAAATCAAATTCACCCTCCGTAAGATTGGGTGGCTTTGGCTTATTTTGCATCTTAATGTCTATTGCATGAAAGCCACAAAAGTTATTTCCTCAAACACTAAGTACTTTTAGAAGTGCATAGAAAGGACAGTTAAAACTATCTGTCTCCCATTTGAAAATTATTTACCTGAAGTTATTAAATTAATTAGTTATAAAGTTTACTAATTGATTAGCTAAATATAAATAACTCAAAATAAATGAACAAACCTGTCCAGGATTTAACTCTCCATTGCATTTAACAATTACATAACAATCCTCTATAAGATTTAATAATTTCTCCTTTTTACAAACATTTTTTGTTTTATCAATATTTTGAAAGTTATTTTTGCCTAATGCTGAATGATCTAAAGATTCTGTATGACTTTCTACAACTAAACTTACATCTGCAAAAATTAGAAGTCTCAGTAGTTCCAGTATTTGCACTTGGGCCAGCAAAGTCAATGTTGTTGGTCTCAATTGTATTTATAATACTGATAGGTGTATCTACATTATTTGAATTTAATCTATTATTTTCATTTACAACACAAGATGATATATCTGTTGAACATAAGCTTTTACCTGGGACAGCACATACTTTACGTCGCTTTGGTTTTTTTAGAACCATCTGAGGGATCATCCAGTGAATTACATAAATGATCTAAAAATGATTGGTTTACTAAATCAGTAGTTGAATCTAAACCTACATTACAACATGGTAGTCGTGAAAGCACTTGAGAGTTGTCTAGTGGAAAAATTCCAGTTTTACGAAAACCAGCTCTAAGGTTATCATTCCCATGTTCACTTAAGTTGGTAATTAAAGGGTCTAAAAGTCTAGGAAATTCATCTTTAGGAAGAGAAGCAACTCTTCTTCCTTTTCCTTTCTCCTTCCATTTACATAATATTTTGTGCCTGTTAATCTTCATAGGTCTAAAGTAGGCAACATCTAATGGCTGCGTGAGACGTTTAGAGTTTGCTGGTAATGTCACAAATCCTATGTTACTGCTTTGACATGCATCCAGTACTGCAATGCTCAAATGTGGAGAAACGTTATCACCTATAATAACACTTCTTCCTTGAGCTTTGGAAGAAGTCTTGGAAGAAGTAAAGAGAAAAACCAGTCCTCAAATCATGTTGAGTCAAACCAACAACTTTTTGATTTGTTATAACGTGCTTTTGGTGGCCCATGTTCCATCCATGTATTCCATAATGACTCAGTTTTGTAAACAACATAAGGTGGTAGCAATTCACCATTGGCATTGCCAAAAAACATAACAGAGAATGAGGTCTTTGTAGAATTCATGATATGTTAAGGGTATTTACATCCAGGCTTTGTTAATATTTTTTTTTTACCTGGATCATCACTGAGATTGGTTTCATCATAATTCCATATATTATCAGGTGATAAATTACTTATTTCATTTGATAGATTTATAAAGTAGTTATTAATCACAGTCATTCCTATTTCTGCTCTCTTGCTTTATGTTGCTTGTAAATCTTACTGTGAGTTCTGGATTTCTTTTTAAAAAAGATTGAATCCAATCGCCACCTGGAAAATTATTTTTGAACTGAGGTATAATGATGCATTTTTTCTCTAAATACCCTTTTACTATGCATCTTAAATCATATTTATCAACAGGAAAACCAAACTCAGATGATTTTATTGCATATGCCTTAAACATGTCTTCTTCTTTTGATGTAAATATTTGCTGACCACCATACTTTTTAGGATATGTCTGTTTTATTTTATTTTTTAATGTTGATCTTGGTATATCGTGATTCAAAGATGCTTGTCTTTGAGTAAGTAAACCATTCTTTAAATTTTTTAATGCATTGTCTAACTGTTCTAAAGTATAAGTCACATATTTTCTTCTTCCACGATTCGGCTTGTAATTTTGTGGCATATTTAAACTGAGAACTAAACAAATTTCACTATAATTTCATACTGATTTACTAATACAAACTGGTAGACTGATTTTCTATTGCATTACTACTATAAAATTTTTCATTCCAACATAGTAACTACCATAATATCTATAAATGATCACTAAAAATGGTTTACTCTAATACATGGGGTGACTTTAGCCCGGGCTAATGTCACCCTATGTAGTGGGCCAAAGACAACCTATTTTTTTTAACCTCAATTACAAAAAAAGTAATAAACTGTTAAGCTTTCAAAACAAGATTGAATCAAACACTAATGGTTTAAAATTAATTCAGTGTATATTCCAATAAAACTACAGGTACTGCTATCGATGTAAAAGTTTACACACCTAAAAAAATTCGGATTTTAGGTGCTTCTTCTAAAGTGCAATTCTAAAGTGCAATCACAAAGACTTGAGTTAAGTGAACTAAGTTAGACTAAATAAATAATAAATTTCCCACAATTTGCTACTAAACATTAACCGGCATACCTTGAGGTATCGATTTTAAACCATTTTTAAAAATTTCTGTTGGGTTAAAGTCATCCCGTAGGGCCAAAGCCACCCAATCTTACAGCTTTTGTATTTGTGACCAAACTTGTACTGCAACCTCTAACAATGGTTGCACAAAGAAATTCTAACAGTGGTCACTTAAGAAACAAAGTAATCTAAGAAGTCTAATATCTAAACAAAGTAAGCATTTTCTAATCTGACCCAATTTTGGATAGCTTTGCCTAAGCCTTTCATTACATGATTTTTCCATTTCAGGTCGCTTGAGAAGATTACTCCAAAGTTACTATTATGTTTAACTTTTGTTTATTAATATAAAAGGGTTGTTTTTTTGTTGATTTTATTAGGGTATAAGCATATGATAATATATAGTTTACTTATGTGTTGTGGGTTTAAATCAGTTTTTCTCCGGGTTCAAAAAATGACTGTTCCTGATACCCAAAAGTTGTAATTTTTTTCCTATGAGTAGTCCATAAACTTATTTATACTTTAGAGCTTCTGGATACAAAAAACTAGAAAGAAATAATCTTTTTGTGACTTTCAAATTTGGAGTCCTTTTTGGGACTCCGCATCCCAGAATACAACAATGGAAAAATTTTATTACTAAATATTTTTAATAATAAGATAAGAATTTCAATTAAATATAAAAAAGGCATTCAAAACCATTTAATATTTTTTATTAGTTACTATATTTTAAACAAAAAAAATGTTTTTAAATTAAAAAAAGACGTTTTTAAATTAGTAAAATTAAAGTGATTGAGAGAATAGTTTCCTAAAACAAGTTTTTAGTACTTTTGACCTTTGCTTAGTATACTACCAAATACCTTTATCAAAAAGAGATTGAATTTATACTGCTGTGGAAGCTGATTGTAAGTTATGGCAATACACTAGAATGTTTTTTAGAAATTTAAAGATTAGTATTTTTTCAACGCTAAAATTGTAAATTTGTTGATAATTCTGAACTCAATGACTGCATTTCCTTTCATTGATAAATTATATGATGTGGTAATAGTCAGAAAAAACTTAGTGAAAATTCAGAATAAAAAACTACATTTAATAAAGATAAATTACAAACAAAAATTACATTTAATGAAGATAAATTACAAAAAAATATATATTTAATGAAGATAAATTACAAACAAAAATTACACCTAATAAAGATCAGTGTTTTTATTATTGTTCAGTTCAAGTATTGACACTGATTATTTTGGTTTGTCTTATTAATTGTTTGGCTCTTTAAAAGCTGATCCTCAGAGACTTGTCTCTCTCATTAAGTTACCTCTCTCTCATTAAGTTACCTCTACCTGATAAGTCTTTGCAATGTATGATTAAAATGTACTATTCAAAGTTGATCGCAGTTTTCATTTGGGTTTCATTTTTAATAATGGTGTTTAGGATTTGTATATGATCAAACACCATGAACAACAAAACAACATGAATAAACAAAATGACAACATAATACTTTAGAAAACAGCCTTGTCTCCATATTCTTATGATATCCATTGTTACTATCAGTGGACCAGATACAGTTATGATATGTTTTATGATATACATTATTATCGTGGCCAATTAAATAGGGGACCAGATACATTTACTTGTGATTGATTTGCAACATTAAGTTCAAAAAAAAGTTATTTTTTTAATTTAAAAAGCTTTTATTCACTTAAATATGTATAGAAATAGAATCAGACATCTAATTTTTAAATGTTGCGGACCTAGTTAAAGCAACTCATTTGAATTTATATTTATCGATTTCAAATGCATATTGTCTACTTCAACTGCTGATCAATAAATATTAATGGTTGTAGACAAAAAAAAATTGGGACCACATACCTTATTACTTGCTTTTAATTCTCGAGTTTAGCTTATATTGTAATGAAAAAATGTTTTACCTTTATTACACTTTATGCTAAAAAATCTCTATTATATACCCCTACTAATTGTAATCCAGATGAATGTCTTTTTTACTTTAAAGAAGATTGTCACCTGAGTCCCCTTTTTTTTTTCGGATTATTAACCCAGGACCTGTATTTATATATAAAAAAGGGTTTCAAAATAAATATTAAGACTGTAAATAAAATTCAGCTTAATGAAGCAGAACCTCACTATCTATATGTGGAAATGCCTAATGGTCACAAAGTGACCATTAGGCATTCAGTAGACACTGTAGCCGTACAGTGTCTACTGAACATCTTGCTTTCATTTGAGCAAGAACTGAAATACTAATCATTGACAATCTAAAAACAATTCATTAGAAACAACAAAAACCTTAGTAGCTATCCTCAAAATCCTATCAGTAGCAATGACCCATGCTGTATAAATATATATTTGCATATACGTAAAATAATATTTTTTCATACATTAATTAGTTCTTGACCATAAAGTTTTATACATTTTTTTTCAGATACCCAAAGTTCTTTGCAACACTCGCAACTCTTTAGAAGAAAAGAAATCTAGTTTTACTCCACCAAAAGTTGAAAAATTATTAACAAATATGCAGTTAGAAACCTCTGCTCGTCGCACAACTTTTACAGTTGATAGCACCAGTCCAATTAAAAAAGTAGTAAAGAGAATTAATGCTGGTTCTTTGTCACCATTAAGTTTTGATAAATATGAGTCTGTCCAAAAAGAAAACAAAGATCCATTAAAGATTGGAAAGGTTAAAAAACTGCCTCTGAACAACTTGAGCCATAGAAAAATTGAAGACAAAAAAAAAGAAGATTTTATTGACTGGAAGCAAGAAAATAAACCAAATAAATCAAGTTCAGCAAAGATTAATTTATTTTTAGAAAAGTCAAATTGTATGGAAAATATTTCAAGTAACCCAAAGCATTCTAATTATTTAAAACGACAACCTGTTTCTAGAACTTTACCTGGTAAGAGTTTTTTTAGATCATTTTAGTTGTCTCCTAAAAAAACTGAACTGAATACTTTGTATTCTGCTAACAAATGTACAAAACTCTGTTCTGCTTACAAATGTATAATTTTTTGAAAAGCTCTGTTCTGCTAACAGATATATATAATTTTGAAACTAACTCTGTTTAGCTAAAAAATGTTTAATTTTTTGAAAAGGACTCTGTTCTGCTAACAAATACTGCTTTGAAATAATATTAAAATTTTAATTTGTAATTAAAATTTTGAATTGTCAATTTAAAAACTTTAATAACTAATTCAGCAATTTGCAGCATCATCTTTGTGAGAATGCAGTGATTTTTTGTTTTGTTTTAGTAAAGCCTGTTCAAGGTTTGTCTGTTAGGAAGTTAAAGTTAACAGCTTCTTCAAAAGCAGATCTTCCACGTCACCCATTACCTTACGCTGCAAAGAATATGTGTTATGATGAGCGATGGATAGATAAGCAGGAAAGAGGTGATTCAAAATAATCACTTTGTAACTTATAAATATTAATTGTTATTAATATTATTTAATTGTATAAATATTACTTAATTACTATAAATATTATTTAAAAATAAATGATATTTGTTAATTATAATAAACACTATTAAAACGTTTAATCAATGATACCTAACAATAAAAAATGCAAAACTCAAGCTCCCAATTTCAAACATTTCAAAAGTTATGATGTTTTTAAAGTCAGCCTATATTTGTTCAAGTTTGTCGAATTTATTACAATACTTTTTTATTGCAATATTTTTATGCTGTGGTAATTTTTTGTTGGAATACTTTTTTTTTTTGTTGCAGTGGTTTTTTTAATGAATTTAAGTTCTAGTGAATTAGTTTTTTTAATGAATTTAAGTTCTAAAATTAAAAATTTTTCATAGTAATTTTTCAAGCATTTTTAAATAAAAGGGCATCTTAAAATGGTTTAAATCATTTGAAAAAGATGGTTTAAATCATTTAAAACATAATAAAGGTATATTATTTTTAAAGTTAGACCAAACATTTACCATTTGTTCTACTTTTACATGTAAAAAAAATTTACCAGCAAATTTTTTTAAATATATACCAAATACTTGCTGATTTAAAAATATTTCTATTGACACTATAAGTTATATTTATATATAACTCTATATTTATATATAATAAAAATGATTATAATATAAATATATATTTATATATAAAATAAACTGGTTTTTTATCTCAAATTTTTTCTTTAAATCTCAGTAACACATTATTAGCTGGTTTTTTACTGAAGTGTATAGTTTGTTAAACTATTATTTAAAAAAAAATTACTTAGTAAAATAAATTAAAATAAGCAAAGTTTATTTAACTGTATCCCTGATATATTTATTATTTAATAAATATTAATCATTTTCATGGTTTTTATAACTTAGTTCCTTAGAAAGTTTTAAATAAAATTTGCTTTAAATCTATAAAGAAATTATTTTATTGAATTTTTACTGGATAAAGTTTGTTTCAAAATGTATTTTTTATGATTTTGATATTTCCCTATATAATATAAACCTAATTTAAAATTTAATTCCTTAGTTTTAACATACACTTCAAGCTGTAACTAAATATTTTTAAATAACCGTATTAATTTCACAACTTAAATTACTTTTTAATATTATACTACCTTTTATAAACATCTGATTACTTTTTACCTAAAAACCTCAGAAAAAAAAGTTAGTATTGTTCAAGCTAAAATTATTTGCTTTTCAAATAATTTTAGCTTAAAAGTAAGTGATAGATTAAGATATACTAAAGCATATAAAGCATGGTTGATGGATAAGTAATAGTTATACTAAAGCATATAAAGTACGGTTGATAGATAAGTAATAGTTATACTAAAGCATATAAAGCATGGTTGATGGATAAGTAATAGTTATGCTAAATCATATAAAGCATGGTTGATAGATAAGTAATAGTTATGCTAAAGCATATAAAGCATGGTTGATGGATAAGTAATAGTTAGGCTAAAGCATATAAAGCATGGTTGATGGAAGTAATAGTTATGCTAAAGCATATAAAGCATGGTTGATGGATAAGTAATAGATATAACATGGGTGGGTAAATTCATTGTGTGTGTTTTGAAGAAGTTGAAGTGTTTTTTTACAAGTTAAAATATGAAATCTGTTATGTTCTATATTCAAGTTTTTTTTTTAAATCAAATTTGATTTTTATTTATCTAGGTTTTACCAATTGGTTAAATTTTATACTGACTCCCGATTGCAATGACAACGAGGAAGATGAAAATGAACGAAGAGGTAACTCATTTTTTATTTTAACAGTTGCTTCAGACTAGAAATTTTTCAAAAAAATAAAATTTATTTTTTGAACTTCACAGCTTTATTTTTTGGATATTATCTCAAATTTTAATGATTTATGGTATACAATCTTGATGAAAAAAACTTCAATTCAAATGTAAGTGTTAAACATCCTAAAGTATAGACAGATTTTTTGTTATAGCACCATAGGTTTTTTCAAGCTAATTGTTTGATACAATTAAATTTACCTTTAATTTTTTTAATATTCTGATTAACTCCCAACAAGGCTGCAAGCAACCACTTTCAAGTTTGAAGTTACTAGAAAACAAAGAATAGAGTCAAAGAGCAAGAAAACACTTAACAGAAGGTTTGAAAAGTTTTAAGTTGTATGAGCCAAGAAAACATGAAGATAGGAGAGAGTTTTAAAGAGATGAAGTTTAAAAAAAAATTGGACAAGTAAAAGTTTTCAGAGCACGCAGGAACAGATACAGTAAAATTTGCTGAATAACAAGTCAAGCGAGAATGAGTTTTGTTTGATGTAACTAGAGATAATATCTATTTTGAGCAACGACCAGTTGTTGATGAAATCAGCCACTTTGAGAGCTGCCACAGATTTCAGAAAACCTTACTACCTGCTGGGGTCAGCACCATTTAACTGAGTTTTAGAGCTGTTTTATAGCTTAGGAGATAAAAAGAAGAGTTGCATAGTCACTATCAAGGAAACACAAGCAAAAATCTATCAAGAAGATCCAGCATTCATCATTCATACAAGAAACAATATAAACACAGGTTCACCTATACCAGCCTGATAGATGTAGGCGGGGCTCAACTGAATTATTCTGCTTAGCCCTAAATCTTTCTCTTGTACAAGACAGTAGCTTAGCTGGATGCAATAACATCAGCCCAATATAAGTATTTTTTATCGAGACACCATATCTTTAGCTTTTACTCAACCACTCAACCAAAATCTTTAAGGCAGGGGAATTTTTGCTGGATGCAGTAAACATCTGCCAAAATGAGTATTTTTATTCCGACATCATCTCTAGGTTTTATTCAATGAAGAGTCACAAGTCTGAGAATTTTTAAGTTGGAGTTTATTTCTTCTAGCCTTTGCCTAAAAAAAGAAAACTCTACAAGACAGCATGGCATGGACAGGTACTACTGGTTTAGCATGGTGATCATGATAATCCTGAACCTGGAGTAGTTAAAAAAAGAAATTCCTGTAAGCAGTACTTTAAAACATTTCATATTTTGTAAATGCATTAAGAAAGACATTATATCTAACTGATTAGTAGAGATAAAGGTGAGCATAGCTTTTATAGTTAAAGTCATTAGTTGATTACTTACCCTGCATCAGAGGTTTGAACAGTGCACAAGCACACATAAAGTAACTTATGGGTGAGGGAACACCGCGCCAGAGGCTCAAACAGAACACAAATTGTAAGCATATATATATATATATATATATATATATATATATATATATATATATATATATATATATATATATATATATATATATATATATATATATATATATATATATATATAATGTAAACATATAGTAAATATAGTAATTTAGAGATAAGCTAACACAGTAACTAAAACACCTCCAACTATATAAAAGAAAAAAAAAAAAGTTCTTTAAAAGTGATGAAAACTTGCACCTAAGTATTTTTTAGGTGGTAGAATTCAAAAATTATTTCACAATTTTTTTATGATTTTTTCTTTAAAAATTTGTAGATTTTCATTATTTCTTGTCTCGTTTTAGTATATAAACTTGTATATATTTCACTTCAAAGATCACGTATCTTTATTTTATATAAATTTATATAAATTTTGTTATAGCTGAAGGATTATTCAAATAATTATTTTAAAATTACACTATTTTTAATCAAATCTAAAACTAAAACGAATTGAACTTTTTATATAAACCATGTTGAAAAGGACACAAATTCAAAACTTTTAACAGTTAGTTTATAAATTTAAATGAAAAATTTCTGTATTATTTATGTTTTTTTATAAAACATAAAAGTTACATAAGTTATATATGTTCTTTGTTTATCTACTTCTATGTTTAGTTTCTTTAACTGTGTAGAAATTATTTAATAAAAATCATGTTTTTATTGATTTTGAAAAGTTTTAATAAATAGGCTTGTGCCCTTTTCGAAATGACAGGTTCAATTATAAACGTGTTCAATTGGTTTAAAAAACTTTTATGTTTGATTCATAGCAAAATGAAATCCAAAAAATTTCTTTTTTCACTGTAGATAAAATTAGGGAATTTTATTGTAATCATGATGATAGCAGATAAATGGAATGTAGTTGTAAAACTGCATTACAGTAGAGGCTTATGACATACATGCAATGTGTGCTTGCACTTACCATCAAATTGTTAAGTTAATGATTAACACAGTTAAACTGACAAAGAGTTTTTACAAACTTATCAATTTGTTTGTAGTGTAGTAAGAATTTCAAGTTACATCGTTTGTTCTTTAAGTTCAGAAGAAATCAATGTAAAAAGGTTCTGTCTGATGCTAAATTCCATTATTCTCAATTAACTAGTTCTCATATCTTATCTTAGAAGCTGGGCTCTAGAACAACTTGGGGCTTGCAGTGGCTTGTAAATTTTAACTACAAAAAAAACTCAGTTTTTTACTGCAAACAACAATTGCAATATTGTTAAAATTCCTATATTGATGAGTGGCAACCTTCTCATTGAGTCCTATTCTTTAGGTCTTCTTGAATTATTGATCACTACTAACCTCTCATGGAAACCATATATACAATCGATTGCTAAATTAGCTTCTACGTTCTTCTAAGTTGTCTCTTTATTGTGCTTGTCATTTTCTTACTTGTGATTCCTTTACAAATTTCTTATTTATCCATGACTAATGCTGTCATATTTGGGCTGATTCTTCTAATAATACTTATTTTCTTCTAGGCAAGGTCAAAAAATGCATTGTAAATGTAGTTGGATCTGTTCCATCTGCCAATATTGAGTCACTGTCCCATCATCGTAAGGTTGCATGTTTTTTCTACAAATACTATTATGGTCACTGTTCAAAGGAGTTATCAGTTCTAGTTCCATTAACCAAAACTCATTGACATTGACTCTTTTAACACTCACTTGACTCGTCATTCTCACTCGTCAAGATTTTGCTATGAAATGTACATGATTTACTAGTCATGGTATACCACCCTGTGATGCTGTTGGTGGAACAGTGAAATTACTAACTTTAATTTCTATTTTTCATAGAAGAACACCACTATATACTTTTAGCATCTACAATGTTTGATTTTTGTAAAATTAAAATCAAAGAAAGTAGTTTTTTACTTTATTACTGCATATCTAAGGAATGGCAAAAATGGTAAAAAAACTTACAAGATAAACTTACAATGGCAAAAGGCTTTAAAACTTAAACTTTACAAGGGACTTACAGCTTTTACAATTTCACTCTTATAATTACCAAACAACAAAAGTTGAAAATTGTTTCTGAAAAATTTGAAATTTGTTTTTAATTCTATACTAATGACATTGAAACTTGTTTATTAATATGAGCATTAGAGTGATGGTATGTTTGATATATGAACATTCGCATCAGAGTGTTGGTATTTTTGATATATTAACATTATCATCAGTGTGTTGGTATGTTTGATATATCAGCATTAGCATCAGAGTGTTGGTATGTTTGATATATGATATTTGAACATTAACATCAGAGTGTTAATATGTTTGATATATGAACATGAGCATCAGAGTGTTGGATTGTTTGATATATAAACAATAGCATCATAGGTTTGGTATGTTTGATATATGAACATTATCATCAGAGTGTTGGTATGTTTGATATATCAGCATTAGCATCAGAGTGTTGGTTTGTTTGATATATAAACAATAGCATCATAGGTTTGGTATGTTTGATATATGAACATTAGAATCAGAGTGTTGGTATGTTTGATATATGAATATTAGAATCAGAGTGTTTTTATGTTTGATATATGAACATTAGAATCAGAGTGTTGGTATGTTTGATATATGAACATTAAAATCAGAGTGTTGGTATGTTTGATATATGAACATGAGCATTAGAGTGTAGTTATGTTTAATATATGAACATTAGCATCAGAGTATTGGTATGTTTTATTTATGATAATAATCCATTGGTTGGACTAGTTAAGGAGAATAATGTTAAAAATATAGACTTTAAGTAAGATTCATACATCCATGTTACAAAGTATTAAAACAAATTTATTCCAAAGAACTCAATTATCAAATTGTTTTAGATTTATTATTTTGTTTTACTTTTTTAATTTTCATATTTGTTTTTACTTTGTTTTTTTGTAATGCAATTGGGACATCAGAAAAGCTTAAGAGATTGTTACATCATTTTGAAATTGAGTTTTCACATTATAATTTTAAATTTTTGTGTTTTATTTATAAGTTTTGAGTTCTTTATCACATCTAATATTCTTCACCCTTAAAATAGTTACAAAAGGCTAAGTTACAAAAGGCTAAGTACAAGCTTTCATCACTGTTGAACAAATATTATAAATTATACATAAGTTAATTTTATGGGCAACTGCAATGGTCAAAATCCGGAAAGGCATCTAGTTGTTAAAAATTCTTCCAAATATTTAAATATTTAAATACAAATTTTAAACATCTATTTAATTTCAAATATTTAAACAAGAAATTGCCATTATGGAAACCTATCCCAGCCAAATTTATGTGGAAGCATGGATGGTTAAACTTTTTTATCTTTGATTTTTTAAAGATTAAATTATCTCCTAAAGACCAGAGGACTTTAAGTTCTAGAGGCTATTCTATTTTCACTGTTATTTTATAACTTATTGAATTTTTTCTTTATAAGGTAAATAAATTCAATAGATTCATTGTTATTTTGTAACTTTTTTGCCACAGATACTTTCATGTGTAATGATAATATTTAAACAACACAAAAATTTAATTAGATAAGAGTTAATTACTTGCGTATAAATTTTCTCAAATTATACGGCATCCTTTTATCACCTAAAGTTGATTCAAAAAAATATAAAACAACTTGAACTTCTACTCACGTTTTATAAATCATTTAGTATGCTCATATTATCTAGATGCTCATATTAGCCAAATCTACCCTAGTGTTTGTTTAATTATAACAAAAAAATTACTGGGTTAGCCTATAGAGAAATAACAAAAAAAAACTTTAAAACAATTCCTTTTTTTCATCACGAAATTCTGTAAATAACTTCTCTCTAAATCTTTTGTATAATTTAAAGTTTTTGTAACTTAAAAAATTTTTTTTAAGGTACCTATACAATAGATTCAAGTAAAAGACAACCAATTGCTCCTTCGCGTGAAGATGTCTCTTTTCAAGTGTATTCACTTCGTCATAAAATGGTTTGTCTTCGCCGTGCAGGTTGTTTGTTATATCAAAATGAAGAATTTTCATTGATTATACAAAAGATTGAACGAGAGATTGAATGTAACATGTTAGCTATCCGAGCAGACAAAAGAATTGAAGCAGATTTAGGTAATCAAAATATGGTTTTAAATAATACAATTAAAATGGAATGTAAATTTTATTCATTTAATGTATTAAAAAAATACTGTTTTTAGGTATAAAAACAAAAATCAGAGACATGATTCTTTCTTACAACTCCCTTTGGTTAAGAATTGGTCTTGAGGTTGGTACATTTTATCTTTTTATCTTTTTATCAGAAACAATACAAAATCACTTCATAAATTATATTTTATATATAACCATAAAACCATATTGTTACATGTAAATGGAAACATTAAAAAAAAAAAAAAAAAACCAAAGTACTTTAAGGTCTTTGCAAATCACTAAAAGAATGCAAATCAAATTATTCTTGTTTTTTCTAATATTATTTTAACTAGATATTTTTTCAAATCTCTAAGGTTATTTTAATAAAATAAATACTATACTCAGACTTTTCAGAATATTATAGAAAATATGAATAATTAAATAATATCTCACTCTGTTAATGTGCGGCTCCGTAAAATATTTTTTTCAAACACAGAAGATATTGATCTGCTAAGAATGATTTTATGAGCTACTATTGCAATTTTTGTTATCTGTAAGCAAAACAGGGGAGGAAACAGCTGAAGTAATTCAAAATACAAAAGTAATGCAGACCTGTATTAATGTATAACTCATAGTAATATATTTATTTCTGCTCTCCTAAATGACCTTTAAAATCAAAAAAGATATTAATCTTTTTTGATTTTAAAGGTCATTTAGGGAAATATAATCTTATTATTATATTTTTAAGGCCATATATGAGGAGATAATTTTATTATTATATTTTAAAGGTCATATATGGGGAGATAATCTTATTACAGTCAAACAATGATGTTTTTAACTTGTCAAAATTTGTAATGAGTCGCATGCTTGCAAATCCTTTAATATCAAAGCAATACTCTCACACAACTGTTCCCAACTTGTACAGACCAGGTATCAGTAGTATTTAATATTTTTATCATCAAAGTATTTATTTTTGATTTTTTTTTTTTAGTAATTTAGATCTCCTTTAACTCAAGATTAAATTGCGTTTGTCAGCCAAGAACCAAAAGGCCAAACGTCCACATTTTCTGTTTTTTCTGTTTATTATCAATAAATATTCAACAATCAATGAGTTATATGTCCAATAAATCAAGACTTAAGAATGATTCAATTTTTTAACAAAATTATTAAGAAATTAGTACGATATTCTGGCAGAAAGACTTTACAAATTATATTTTATAACTTGATTTTTTCAAAAATACAAAAAATGGACACACAGCATCTTGGTTCTTGGCTTACAAATTGTTTGTTATTTTAAAGTCGTAAATTTTACGCAATCTTAAATAAGACAATATGCAGTTATATGCAGTATTAAGTGATCAGGATCCCGCCCCCAGCTAAGTATTCAACTTTTTACAAATCTGGCCTCGGTCCTGGCAAAATTATAAGATTTAGCAGGGGTTGTTAGAGCTAAGACTGAAAATTTTTTTATTACATTGTGTATTATAAATTTATGCACATTAATGCATGTTATTAAATAAGTACTAATATATAGGATTTATAAGGATATATTTGCTTTTTATTTATATGCTGGCATACAATATTCTTACATATTTATACAAACTTTAGTAGGGGAGAGTTGCCAAAATTACACTTAAGTAATAAATATTTTTCAATTAAAGATAGTTTAACTATTTTAACATTAACGATTTGATTAAAACAAACATAAAACTCTACTATACTTTTAGCTATAATTTGAATTAATTGGTTGCACTGTTATTGGAAATAAATTTGGATTTGTTAAGTCACCATTTTGTTTCAATCAAGACAACTCCAAAATTAGAATACTTTGATTCCTTCATTAAAACAGCTCCCTTCTTTCAAAAAACAGCTCACTTCTTTCAAAAAACAGCTCACTTCTTTCAAAAAACAGCTCCCTTCTTTCAAAAAACAGCTCGCTTCTTCCAAAAAACAGCTCACTTCTTTCAAAAAACAGCTCGCTTCTTCCAAAAAACAGCTCACTTCTTTCAAAAAACAGCTCACTTGTTTCAAAAAACAACTTGCTTCTTTCAAAAAACAGCTCGCTTCTTTCAAAAAACAGCTCACTTCTTTCAAAAAACAGCTTGCTTCTTTCAAAAAACAGCTCACTTCTTTCAAAAAACAGCTCACTTTTTTTTAAAAACAGCACCCTTCTTTCAAAAAACAGCTCGCTTCTTTCAAAAAACAGCTTGCTTCTTTCAAAAAACAGCTCGCTTCTTTCAAAAAAATTCCCAGTAAACCAACAGAAATCAATTTAAATTCTTTTATTTACTTAAAAATTATTTAATAAAGTATTATTTTTGAGGTTTATAAATGTAGCTACTTAGATTTAAATTGCATCTTAACTATTTCTTTAACTTATTGATTTTATGAAAAACTTTCAAAAAAATAAGTTCCAATCAAGGAAACATTTTAGGAAATCAAGGAAACTAGACTATTTTATCACTACAATATCATGCTTGCAGCAATTTATAAGATAAGTTTATATTATTACTTGCATTTTAAATCTGATTGCATTATACACGAAAAACTGTATAACCCACATTAGTATAGTTTATCTGGTGCAATCAATACTGTGAGGACACCCTATTAGATCACCTCAAAAAAATGACTCAAAAACGTTTTTATTTTATGGTATACTTAGGTAAATAAAATATTTAACTAGAAAAATGCAAAATATAGCCATCAGACATTTTATTTCCAAAATAAATGTGTTATTTATGACATTTTATTTCCCAAATAAAAGTGTTCGAATTAAGGTGTTGTTCCAATTTCAACTCTCGTTTATTTATATAGTATATTATTTACCAAGAAAGAAGATAATGATCAGATGAATGTGTGGTTTGACTTAAACAAGACAAGAAAAGACGCCATGATTTTAGACATTAGAGATAAAAAAAAAAGGGTGTATCAGACATTTTTCAGAGAAAATTATGGTGATTTGGGTATGTTGAGCAATGAGGATGCAGATTTAATTGAATAATAAGAACACGAGAATGAAATTTAGTAGATGGCACAAGAGACGGTAGCTCTTTAGAGCAGTACCCATTATAGTATTTGTAGAAAAGAGAAAAAGAAGCAACGTTATGATCTGCCACAGATATGGCAACAGTATTCCATATAAGAACAGGTTTGAGATTTATAGAGTTAAAGAATAGAATCTGGAGTAAGAAACTGTTGAGCACGATAGAGAGATGCAACCTTAGCAAATGCTAATTTTGCAATGGATTTGATATATGGTTTCTAAATAAGATCGGAAGCAAGAATAATCCTAGAAGATGAAGGGTAGATGACTCATTGAGTTCATTATGGTTCATAAATAAAGGAAGATCTAAAATATTACAATAACAATTGGCTAAAAAAATTTGGGTTTAATCTGAATTCAAGTTCACCAGCCACTGTGAGCCCCATTATGTAGCAGAAGTGAGATCTTTTTCAGGGAGGATTCAATAATCTTAAAGATGTTACCTGATACACTGTAAGAAGAAAACTTATGGAGAAGACCAGCATGCCAAACTTTATCAAAAGCTTGAGAAATATCAAGAGCCTCTCTTTTTAATCTCTCCACCTCTAATGCAAAATAAAATCCATATTGATTGAATCAAAAACTTTGCTTATGATAGGAAGAAGACTAATGGGTCGATAGTTATACGAGTCAGATCGCTCTCCAGAATTTTTGAAAATAGAGATAACATATGCCATTTTTCAGCACGCTGGAAAACAAGACTCTTGATAAGCACTTGTTGAATAGTTTTGAAAGTATAGACGACAGTTCCAAAGAACACTTCTGCAAGACTATAACAGGTATGCTGTCCTGACCACAAACTATAGAAGAGTCTAGAGAGCTGGAGTAATACGAATATCAAGCAATGGATCAACCTGTTTGTTGGCTATATCAGGTCGAACGCAACTAGTGGAATCAAGAGACAATATTGATAAAATGTTCTAAGCAAACAATTCAGCTTTGTTTTTAGGTGAGGTGACAAAATATAAACTGTACAAGAGAAGTCGAATAACAGATTTGCCATTATTGTTGATACTGTTAAAGATTCTCCAAAAGTTGCAAAAGCCTAATTTTTAAGATAAATACAAGATTTTATGGCCTAAGAAAAGTGGGCTTTGGTGTTTGAACAAAATTTTTTTACAATGTTTGCTAGCAATATTAAACAGAGGTCTGTTTTCTGGAGAATTATCTTGCTGATAGATATGCAAGTAATGGTTTCAATTGGAAATTGCAGCAGCTCAATGTTAGGAAAACCATGGAGAAGAATGAGGTTTGACTTGGATCCAAGAAGTTATGTAAGAAGCACATTTGTCAGCAAGAAAAAAAAAAACGATTTCTACTCAAGGGCCATCACAAAGAAAATCATAGTAAGTGTCCCAGTCAGCTTTAAGGTAGTTGTTAGAGGTATGATGATGGGAGTATTCTGCTAATGAAGAAGAAAGAGATAATAGTTTTAGACAGATCAAATCATGATCAGAAACACCTCAGGGTGAAAAGGTAAATGATTTGGATTGTCTGTAAAATAAGTCGGAAAGTTGTTTGAGTAAGATGCTATTTGAGTAAGAGATTTAGTAAAACAAAAGTTGTGGGCCTTAACGCCTGCAGAGTCACTGACACTAGAGCCAAGCCATTCAGTGTGATAAGCATTTAAGTCATTTAAATGATATTGGTCAATTTGATCAAAAATAATATAGAAAAGAGTGCAGTCTTGAGATAAAGAAAAGCAATATAGAACAAAGAGAAAGGCAATAGAGTGAAGTAGTGCTAAACAAAAGCACATGAAGAATAGTTAGTGGATTCAAACCTAGTTTCCTGACAAATGAATTCTTATGAATGTAATGCCCTGGCCAATTGTGACTATCAAAGGTTTTACAAATTTAAGGAAGATAATAATAATATATTAATTAAAGGTTTTACAAATTAAAGGAAGATTATTAATACTAAGATCACAAGATAAGACAGCCAAATTCAAATTAATCTCACAAAGAGCAAATAGGTCTGGTGAACTTTGCAAAAGATAAGAATCAACTGAAGAAAAGTTACTTTGAAGACCATGAATATTAGTGATTTAAAAAACTTGGTAATGATGATGGTTTTTCGTTATTAATAAACCTTAAGCTGTAATAAAGGGCTCCAAATGTAGCATCAACAATTCATACCAAAAGGTACAAACAGGGACACCATCCATGTGCAACATGGTGCTGTTAATACTCTAATAATTTACAGCTGTTGATGGAATCATCCCTTGGATAGCTACCACAGAATTTGGGAAACCTGAATACCAGCTGGCCTCAGAACCATAGAATTAAGTTTTAGAGCTGTATCCTCATTAGAAGATAATAGAATGAGTTGCCTAGTCATGAAAACAGAGACACTAAATAGAACAAAAACAAAACAAAAGAAGAAGATCTAGCATTCAACATCCTAAACTGGAAACAATGTCTTATAAATATATCTGGGCCTGTCTAATAGATGAAGAAGGTGTGCAGGGGTGGTTGACAGATAAAATCTGTTTACCCCTTAATCAAATTGTTTATTTATAAATTTCTTTGTTAATCAAACTTTTAAATTAAAATTCTTACATTGTTTAACAGGAAAAAAAGAAATGTCTGGGCCTATTACATCAATCTAATATGTTATTGACAGGGATTAAGAACATTATTGAATCAAACAAATGTACAAGAGGAATTTTCTAAAAGTGGCATAATAAAAATTGTTATGCCACTTTTAGAAAATGGCATAATAAATTTTTATGTGGCAAAATAAAAATTATTTTTATACTGACCTTTAAACATTCGATTGGCTTCTAATAACTTCAAAATATTTTGAAAAATCATTTTAAAAACCTTAAAAAAACAAAAAATCTTAAGATAAACTAATAAATTTCATACAACAAAATCTAAGTTCACAATCTTCATGTGATTATTATTTCTTATAATTTTCATGCATTATTATTATAGAAATATTTGTACAATTTTGCTATATATGCAGAACAAGGTTGATATACTTTTTACAAATTTTATTTTTTAAATACGGTCATTATAAGGAGCTAATCAAAAGTTCAAATGTCCTTTAAAAAGACATAAAAATAGTTTTTAGAATTATACAAATATACTGTCATTTTGTTAAACAAAACTTATTTAGTGGTTGGAAACATATTTCAGCTGTTAAAAAGCACCAATTAAATAAAAATATATTTCTAGCTACTCGATTATATATGACATAAGTGTATATTGTTTTTAAATTAATTTTATATATTGTTTTCAAATTAATTTTTTTTACTCTTATCACATTTTGAAAAAAAGTTATATGCTACTTTTATTTCATCTAATGTTTTTAGGGTACGAGGAAGCTATTCGTAAATTTATTCTCAAAAAATTTTTACTTTTGGTTATATTTTTGGATCGCGCAAAGCAAAATCGACTCATAGAGCATGATCCATGTTTATTTTTAAAAAATTCAGAGTTTAAGGTAACTTATTTTTCGTAGATATTTTATATATTATTGTTATAAATAGTTATATTTTTGAGCTTTTATCATTATTTTATTTTAAACTTTGATACTTTGCTTCAAAATGATTGTCATTACTTTGATGGGTTGGTTAGTTTAACATTATGATGGGTTGGTCAGTATAAAACTTCGATTGGTTGGTCAGTTTAACATTATGTTGGGTTGGTCAGTTTAACATTATGATGGGTTGGTCAGTTTAACATTATGATGGATTAATCATACTTTCCATTTTTTAGGATTCTCCCATTGTTTTTGTAATATAGGTTTTTGTTGACTTCAAAATGACAGGAAAATTATAGATAATCACTTTCAATTCTTGTTTTAAATCTTTTTCTAAATCTGTATCTTTTCTTTCTTTAAAAGCTCACAAACAATTTTTAAAATCACATAAGATTGCATAAAATTTTAAGATTAGGTGTTAGTGTTGTTGGTAAAATTTCTTTAAACTTTAGCTTGTTTAAAACAATCAATCTCACCCGTAAGTTGATTTATATTTGTTTGTGTTCTGTTTATTTTCTGATGCAGCGTGAGCTCAGTAACTAGCTACTTACTCCAACTACAAAACCTACACTCACCTTAGACTCCTGTATTTTGTTAGATGCAGTGTTTTTCCTAATGTACTTCCAAAATGTCATGCTTGGTTTTCTCAAAGTACTGTTGCGGGAAGTAACTCCATTTAACTACTCCAGGTCAGGTCAGGATAATCAAGATCAATCTTGCTACTGGTATCACGTAACCCAGTACCACCTGCCACAAGCCTTGCTGCCTTGCAGAGTGTGCTCTTCTTAAGCAAAGGCTAGGAGAAATAAACTCCGACTAAAAATTCCCCTACCTTAGGGCTCTTGGTTGAGTAAAGGCTAGAGATGTTTCCTGCCTAGGATGATGAATGCTGGATCTCCTTGACTCTACTCATAGAATTTTGCTTATGCCTCCTTGATAATGGCTATGCAACTCTTCCTGTTATCTCCATATGAGGGTACAGCTCTAAAACTCAGTTTAATGGTTCTGAGGCCGGCTGGTACTAAGGTTTCCCAAACTCTGTGGTAGCTCTCAGAGAGGCTGATTCCATCAACAGCTGCAAAATATCAGAGTGTTAACAGTGCCATGTTGTGCACGGATGGTGTCCCTGTTAATGCTTTTGGTGTGCATTGACAAGGCCACATAAGGAACCCTATGTCATGGCTTAGGGTTAATTAACAGGACTGAGACAACTGCATAGCTCATTGATTAGGAGGCTGTGCTCTATCTATGAATGAGTCAAGTTCTCATTAAACCCAAATTATGACCAAAGTAACCAAAAATTTTAAACCTAAAAAACCATCCCCACCACCTAAATGTCTTAATATATCTTTTACAAATATTTGCGGTCTGCGAAGCAACTTTCCGTCAGTTGAGTCTTACCTCCTGCAAAATTCACCAGACTTGCTTTCACTCAGTGAAACAAATTTTAATTCTGCAATTCCTTCTTCAGATGTCAGTGTTGATGGGTACTATCCTTTGATTCGTAAAGACTCCAATAGTCACATGCTAGGTTTAGGGGTATACATACACATTAATTTCCCTATTTGTTGTGAAATCAGGTTCGAATCCTTTGACCATTCTTTTATGTGCTTTCGCCTAGCACCTCTTCACTCTATCACCTTTCTCTTTGTTCTTTATCGTTCTCCTTTTTCCCATGATTGCACTCTTTTAGATGTTATCTCTGATCAAATTGACCATGCCCTCTCTCTTTACCCCTCTGCCAATATTGTTGTTGTTGGTGATTTCAAAGCCCATCACACTAAATGGCTTGGCTCTAACACCACTGATCCTGCTGGCACTAAAGCCTTTAACTTCTGCGTTTCCCCATCTCTTACTCAGATAGTTAACTTTGTGACTCGTTTTCCTGACAACCCTAATCATTTACCTTCACTCCTTGACTTATGTCAAGTCTCTGACCCTAGCTTATGTTCAGTTTCTCCCTTTTCTCCCTTAGGTGGTTCTGACCATGCAATGATCTCTATAAATCTTTCTTCTCGTACTTCTTTTTTGAGCTCACCTTATCATTGCACCACCTACTACTACCCTAAAGCTGACTGGGATTCTTTTCGTAATTTTCTTCGTGATGGTCCTTGGGCTGATGTTTTTTCTCTCTCAGCAGATAAATGCGCCTCCTACGTAACCTCCTGGATTCAGGCTGGAATGAAAGCTTTTATTCTTTCTCGTCGGTCAAGCCTCATTCTACTCCATGGTTTTCAAGTCAAGCCTCATTCTACTCCATGGGCTGCTATATCTAATCGTAATCATTTTTTTGGAAAATGGCATCTGTGGTTCCAATATTCAAAAACTCTGGAGAAAATTCTGACCCCTCCAATTATAGTCCAATCAGTGTTCTTTCTGTTATAAGCAAGGTCTTTGAGTCTTTGATCAACAAATTCCTCACATCTCATCTTGAATCAAATAAACTACTGTCAGACAATCAATACGGTTTTTGATCCTCTCGCTCTACGGCCGACTTGCTAACTACTGTAACTGAAAGATTTTATTGTGCATTAGATGGAGGCGGTGAGGCTAGGGCTATTGCTCTCGACATATCTAAAGCTTTCGACAAAGTTTGTCATGCTGGTCTTCTCCATAAGCTTGCTTCATATGGTGTTTCTGGGAAAGTTTTTGAGATTATCAAATCATTTCTTTCTAACCGGTTTATAAAAGTCATCCTTGAAGGCCAGCACTCTTCTTTATTTCCAGTAACTTCTGGGGATCCCCAAGGTTCCATCCTGGGCCCTGTTTTTTATTTCTTATCTACATAAACGATCTTCCTGACAACCTTTCATCTAAAGTAGCTCTTTTTGCTGATGACTCAACTTTATACTCCTGTCTTGACAAAAAGTCTTCTCTTTTCGATTGCCTAGAACAAGCAGCTGATCTTGAATCAGATCTCACTTCAGTAATAGATTGGGGTTCACAGTGGCTTGTGAATTTCAACTCTAACAAAACCCAGTTGTTTACTGCAAACAACTACCGTAATATGGTCAATATTCATATATTAATGGCAATCCTCTTACTGAGTCCTCCTCTTTACGTCTTCTTGGATTATCGCTTACTACTGACCTTTCATGGAAACCATATATACAATCGATTGCTAAATTAGCTTCTGCTAAGGTTGCTTCTCTTTATCGTGCTTGTCATTTCCTTACTTCTGATTCCATTCTCTACCTTTACAAATCTCTTATTCGTCCCTGTATGGAATACTGTTATCATATTTGGGCTGGTTTTTCTAACGATTCACTTTCTCTACTTGACAAGGTCCAAAAACGCATTGTAAATGTTGTTGGACCTGGACTATCTGCTATGCTTGAGCCTCTTTCCCATCGTCGTAAAGTTGCATCTCTTTCTCTTTTCTACAAATACTATCATGGTCACTGCTCAAAGGAGTTATCATCTCTAGTTCCATCAACTAAAATTCATTCTCGTTTACTCGTCATTCATCTAAGTCTCATTCGTTTACTGTATCTGTCCCTGCATGCTCTAAAAACTTTTATTCATCTAGTTTTTTTCCTCGATCTTCAATCCTTTGGAACTCTCTCCCATCTTCATGTTTTCCTGACTCATACAACCTTCAACTTTTCTTCTGTCAACCGTTTCCTTGCTCTATAACTCTGTTCTTTTTTTTCCTAGTAACTCCCAACTTATTAGTGTTTGCTTGCAGCCTTGTTGGTAGTGAATGCAAATAAACAAAAAAAAAATCATACAATTTACATTTTTGCAAGTCTTTTGTTAATATTTGTTTTCATTTTTTTTCCTTAATATTTTTTATATTATTTCTATTATTTATAATATCAATTAAATATGATCCATATTTCTTTTTATCACTATTTTAGACAAGTCGTGATCTTTTGCTAGCATTTTCTAGAGATTATTTGAAAGGCGAAGGGGATATCACAAAGCATTTGAGCTACATGGGTATAGTAGTTCAGCATCAACAGGTATTTTAATATTAAAGAGTTTTTAATTTAGATAATTTTAAGAAATAAGAAATATTTTATACTACTTGGTTTAATATAAAATGTAATAACTCAATAATTAAAAACAATGTGCATTTTTTAATAAACAATGTTTACAGTGGTTTTGCACTTCATCGTGTTTTTTAAAGTTGTAAAAATTTTATTTATTTATTTTTATTACAATGGTTAGTTGTCTTTTGAAAGTAAGAGCTTTATGTGGTAAGTAAAATAATCTATGATATAATATATTAATTAATAATATTAATATTATTATATTATATATATGGAAATGTCTAAATTATAGTTAAAGTATACTTAATTTATTTTTCTTACTCAGTTTTTTTTAAATTGGTTCAACTTTTAATAAAAGTTTTATTTAAATTTTAAAGTAATGTAAAAATATTAATATAAAAAAGTCTTATTTTTTACATTAATGCAAAAAAAAAAAATTGTTTTTTTATTTTTAGTCAGTTATAGATGAATATGACTTTGGTTTAAAAAATCTTGCTGTTGATTTAAGAGATGGTGTTCGTCTAGTGTAAGTAAATTTTTTTTTGTTAATAAATATAAAAATATATTTTACCATTTAAAGGTGTTTTTTTTCCTGAAAGCATGAAAATTAAAACAAATTTGTGGTTAAGTTAAAAAAAAATAGCTTATACATAAGTTTTTTATACTTGAGTTTTTAAAGCTGACTTTTTAAAGCAAAAAAATGTAATTAACTAATTTTATTACCATTTTGTGACATTAATTATAGTTATATGCACATATCAGGCTTAGACAGGAATGGCGTGCGATTGCATGCTGTAACTGACCACGCTTATAATATTTTTTCTTTGCAATTTGACAACGGCAGTTTTGATGTTTTAACAATTTAAATGCCATTTAAAAAATTGTTACGTTATTAACTTTTATTTGTTGATCTTTTCTTTAGTTTTTATTTTACGAGAAGGTTTTAAATAAAATAAAAAAGTAATTACAGTGATTGTTTAAATGTATTATGTGTAAATTAACAAATGTTATAGTACACAAAATATGTTTATTTAAATACGTTTTTTTTTTAACTTGAATTCTATTTAATTTAAAGTTAAAAAGAGTTTAAGTTAAAAAAAAAGTTTAAACAGTTTTTGTAAAAATAGAAACAAAAAAATAATTAAATAAAGCAATTAAATTAATCCGTTGCAACAGAAGATTTAATTCAACTTTTTCATAATTTAAAGTATCCTAAAAAATTTATCTTTTAAATGATTTTTAGAAAGATATTGTAAAATAGTTTCAAACAAATTATTTAAATTTATCATAAAACATGCCTGCATAAAAAAATTATTCAGAGAAATGAATAAAAATTACTAAAAATTTAAAATGATTAAAAATTTAAAATAGACTATGGTATTTTTTTAAATATTTTTTTTTACAACTTTTTGGAAAAAAAAATGTTTATACAATTTAAAAATAATATATAAAACACTTTTTAGTAATTTTGATAAAATTTGTTCATGCATTAAGCAATCATTAGACAACACTTTTAAAAGCATTTTGTTTTTGTTAACTTAAAACGTTTCAAAATTTAAATATTTAAGTAATTTATTTTAAACAATAAAAACGTAAGTAAAAATAATTATATATAGTAAAAAAAATGTTTTTGAATTGTAGTAAGTTGAAAATAATTATATATAGTAAAAAAAATGTTTTCGAATTGTAGTAAGTTGAAAGTTTGAGTTAATAATAACAACAATTTTTTTTATGGCATTTAAATTGTTAAAACATTAAAACTGTCAAATTGTAAAGAAAAAATATTATAAGCGTGGTCAGTTACAGCGAGTGATCGCACACCTGTCCTGTCCAAACCTGATATATATATATATATATATATAAACTCCTTTTTTTGTGTGAGGATATAATAGTGAAAAATGGTTTAGGAAAATTATTTCTTAAATGTTTCCATTGAAAACTAAATTTTTTAGAATTTAGAATAGTACTTAAAAATGCTTCAGTTTTATTTTACGAATATGACTTTGTAACATCTTGACATGATGGGAGACCTAGTCTTAATGTTTATTCAATACAATTCCAGCACTGCTATATGTACCAATAAATTGAATCAAAAAAAATCTCAACAGTGGAGTTGTATGCATATATGTATGTTTATGTTATGTGTGTAGTAGTAGTGTAGTGGTAGAGTGCTTGCCTTATAAGCAAGAAGTTCCAAGTTCGACCTCCACCATGCCTATAGTAGTACCATGCTCAACTTGTTTCTCTGCGCAGCAGTCTTAGTGGTCAAGGTTCGTGTTTTGGATTTATAAAGTTGTAAGAGGGTTGTAACAACAAATAAAGTAGCCTCTTCGACTGCAGTGGCCTTTATGGGCTTGGGGAGGTGAAAAAAAAAGTGTATATAATATTAGGGTGATCCAAAAAAACTTTTGTTTAATTTTTGTTATTCCTAAGGTCTAAATGTGTTCATTTATGAAAAAAAACATTGTACCAAAAAAATCCAAATCAGTTAATATTTAGAGGTCGCGCTGGGGCGATCTTTATACCCCTCTAAAATCGGAGTTTTCAAAAGTATAGTAAAATATTGACCTTCGTTTTCTGTGCACATTTCGGTTATTTACCGTTCGATTTTAATAAAATAAAAACGAATATAAAGCTCTTATTACGCATAATTATTTTTATTAAACAACATTAAACAACATTAAACAACAACAGCTGCTCATTATCGCCTGGTTTGTTTAGCACTCAATGTTGATTTTTTTGCATCTGGTAAGACAGCCCTGTTTTCTGCAACTAAATTTACCACATACTTTTGCTGCTCTTCATCTTTTGTTAAGACAGCATTAAAAGTCTTGTACTAACTTCACCCCTCTTTCGGCGCAATCATTAACAAATTTAAGAAACTTCACTACTTCTTTAGAGTCGGCATACGACTCATTGTTTTTCCAGTTAGAAGGATCCTCTTCAAGAAAGAAAATGTCAATATTTAAGAAATTAAAAAATGAAAGTGATTTACACGTTACAAAGTCCTCAAGGGATTTACTCATTACATTTGTAATATCTGCAAATTTCTTTGATGGCCTATTATTGTCTACGCATTGACGCTGAAGGGCAGTTATCATTTTTCTTTTAACTTCAATCTCTACATCATCACTAAAATAGGCCAAAGATATACGTTCTTCACTTAAATACCATAGATGCCGCTTTATTGCCTTGGTTGCAGCGGTCGCTATATTTTCATTCATTTCACGATATTCCTCAATATTTTTTAGAAAATCTAAATCATTAAATGGGGCCAAGGCACTGAGTGGTGCAGTAAACCACTGTCGAACATGTATTAATGCAGCAAACATGCTAATATCTCTTACTGTGTTTAATTCATGTTGCACCATTTTAAACTGATCTCTAAATAACCATATTTTAATTGAATAAATAAGTTTTGCCATCCACCGAGCATGATGGAAGGCTCCAGGTGCTTTAAATCTTATTCCACTAGGAGGTTGCTTTCCTAAATATATTAGACATAATTCAAGAAGTTCTTTATAATCATCTCGTGGTTGAGAGTCTTGCAAACATTTTTTTAAGTAATTAATTTTAGACGATTTTTTTTCAATCGAGACGTTTGAAAGATATCTTTCAGCTTCTTCATCTTGCACTGCTGGGCTAAAATCAACTTTCTTGATATTCTTCCAGGCTTGTTTAAATCGTTTAAAAAAAGCAACATCTGGTCCGGACGTTACTTCTTTAGAGGGTTGTTTCCTTAACGCTTCTTTTTGCAAACGTTTATCCAAACTTATCTCTCTGCAAACTTTATTTTCTTCTTTCTCTGCATCATCTTTATCAATGGAACCCAAGACCATGTTTCTATCATCTCGTTGATTTATGAGGAAATCGCGATCTTCAGCAATTTTTATTAAATCAAAAACATTAGTTGGAGCAATATCAAAAAGTTTCATAATTCTCTTTTCACTGTCTGTTTGCTTCTAGCAACAGCTACCATTCATCTTCTAGGATTCTACCATTCATCTTCTCATTCATCTTCTAGGTCATCTACCATTTATCTTCTAGGATTAACTCTTACTTCTGATCTTTCTTTTAAACCGTATATCAAATCCATTGCAAAATTAGCATCTGCTAAGGTTGCATCTCTCTATCGAGCTCGACACTTTCTTACTCCAGATTCTATTCTCTATCTCTATAAATCTCAAATCCGTCCCTGTATGGAATACTGTTGCCACATCTGGGGCGGATCTTCTAATGATGCTCTTTCTCTTTTAGACAAGGTGCAAAAACGAATTGTAAACATAGTTGGACCTGCTCTGGCAGCCAATCTCCAACCTTTGTCACATCGTCGTAATGTTGCTTCTCTTTCTCTTTTCTACAAATACTATAATGGGCACTGCTCTAAAGAGCTAGCGTCCCTTGTGCCATCTACTAAAATTCATTCTCGTGTTACTCGCCATTCAATTAAGTCTCATCCTTTTTCTGTGGCTGTTCCTAAGTGCTTCAAAAACTCTTATTCTTCTAGTTTTTTTCCTCGAACATCAGTTCTTTGGAATTCGCTTCCTTCATCTTGCTTTCCAGATTCATATAATTTGCAATCTTTTAAGTCATCAGTCAATCGTTATCTTGCTCTACAGATTTAGTCTTCTCTCTTCCAGTAACTTCCAACTCTTATAGTGGTTGCTTGCAGCCTTGTTGGAAGTGAAGATGTTAAAAAAAAAAAAAAAAAAAAAAAAAAAAGCTGATTTCTTATTTCTGTCTTTTAATAGATCCGTATATTCTTTATGAAATTTTTCAAGCCTTGTAACCTTTCAAGCCTTATAACTCCTTTCGAATTGTAGGAGTTTTAGCTTTTTCCCAAATTTCACAAGTTGATTTGATAACTGTTACCGAACTTTCATGTTTACTCAATCCTTTCACCTCATGGTGGAAGAAAAAACATTTTAATAACTTCCTAAATCGTTGGAAGCTTAAGATGGGAAAGCATTGATATTGGTTGACCAATTAACCATTTTGCTGTAGAACTGCGTGTTGACTTTGCGACTGCAGCCATTTTAAATTTTCTTTAATACAGCGTATGAATGAAAATATATTTTGTTGTCACCTATATTTCCAAACAAAATTAGTTTTGTTGAAACTCGCAATTATATCACTTTCTTAAAATACTGTAATTAATATTATTAGTCAAGCAAAATAGGTAAACTATTGTAATTTTATTTCAGGAATCACAACACTCTCGATAAAGTCTGGAACTGAACTAAACCATATAATAAACCAATATAGTAAAATATAATGAAATTTGGCTTAGTTCGCAATTTATTTTGCCGCTTTAATATGCATTTAAAAAGGAAATGTTGTTTAACAAAAATTATTATGCGTAATAAGAGCTTTATTTTTGTTTTTATTTTATTAAAATCAAACGGTAAATAACCGAAATGTGCACAGAAAATGAAGGTCAATTTTACTAAACTTTTAAAAATTTCAATTTTAGAGGGGTATAAAGATCGCCCCAGCGCGACCTCTAAATATTAACCGATTTGGCTGATTTTTTTGGTACAATGTTTTCTTTAATAAATGAACACATTTAGACCTTAGGAATAACAAAAAGTTAAAAAAAAAATTTTTTTGGTCATTTTTGGATCACCCTAATATATATGTTTACACATGCATATACATACATATTTATACCTAAATGTATATATTTATGTATTTTTAAAACTATATTTGCGCTAGTGAATTACTCATACTGAATTAGTCATCTGCACTTCAGTACTTACATTGACTAAGGTTTGGGCAGAATCAGTTGTTAAGCCTTAAAACCGGTGTTTTAAGGCTTTATCTGTGTAATAGTGTGCAAAATACTACCAAAATAATAATTGTGCAAAATATAACTACATAAATAGTTGTGCAATGTACTACAAGGAGCGAAGTAAGTGATCATTTTGGTATCTGTAAAAATTTCTAGTTTTCAAATTCTCAGTTTTATCATTCTTATTAAAAACAGTAAAAACTGTTTTAATGAAAGGCTTCATTTTTCATATTTCAAATCACTTATGAAATAGCAAAATAATAAATTTATGGCTGCAGAATAATAACAGTAGAAACTTACATATTTTAGTTTATTTTGATTAAACACCAGTTTTTTGTTTAAACACCAATTAATTGAAGTATTATACATAGAAATCAAAATTAAAATATTGTTTACTAAAGGCCCGTTAAATAAGGGTGGAAATCTTAAAATCAACCAATTAAAAATTATACTGAAGTTATTTGTGCACTGTACAAAACATTTAAACCCGATTTTTATTTGTGGGAAACTTTGAATAATTATTTATTTAAAAACTTTAATGTTTTAATTGAAACATAAGTTGGTTGATAATAAAAACAATGGTAAAAAAGATATGATTTAAAATATGTTAACATAATTTTTTTTATTTTTATTTTTATTTTAAAATAATTCTAAGCCGTTTAAAATATTTTTTGTATGCCTTTAAAACACCAAATGCGCTAGAGTTACAAAGATTTAAATGAGATATAAATAATTAGTAGCAATTTCTTTTATTTAAAATATTTGATTATCACTTAATTCTAATAGGCTTTTGTGATTTGCTGCTGTTTCATTTTTAGTTATAGATTGTACTACTTTATTTTTCTAGTTTTATCTGATGATTATCATAGCTATTGAAGTTTAAATCATAGTTTTTTAATAGCAATAATAAAACAAATAATAACATGGTTTTGTAATATTTATTTGTATTACTTATTTTAATAGTTATTTTGTGTAATAATTTCAAGATCAGCGCACAAATATTTTTTCTTGAATAACAACTATTGATTTTTATGATAAAAACAGATTTTTTGGTTTTTAAATAAATAGAAATTTAAAGCTATAAACATTTTCAGATATAGCATTTGCAATGGCTTTATTCGCACCTTGTACTATTATTTTTAGTTTTGTCTGATTATATTTAAATAAAAAGTTAAGTATAAAATTATATATACCACTGCGCCACTGCTAAGTATAAAATTATATATACCACTGCGCCACGGCAGCAGCCGTGGCGCAGTGGTAGCGCACTTGCCTCAGAAACGTAAGATCCTTGGTTCAAACCCACCTCTGGGCAAGTTTTGCGACATCGGTTAGGAAGGAGGCGTGAACTTCCTATTAAATGATCTTCCGCGGTGCTCTGTGATAAGACCGTAAGGACTTCTTGGGGCACCTAAATCAACATTAAAAAAAAAAAAAAAAAAAAATATTAAGATCAGCACTAAGTAATTAAAATCATTGAAATTGTTGCATTTTTGAACTTTTAATTTAAATAAATTTAATTATCTTATTCTATAACTAAATATTTTGGACTTTTTAGGCGTGTTCTTGAACTTTTAACAAAAGACTGGTCACACTCTTCCAAACTTAGGTTACCGGCTGTCAGTAGATTACAGGTGAGTTTTTTTAACAAAAGACTGGTCACACTCTTCCAAACTTAGATTACCGGCTGTCAGTAGATCACATCACAGTTGAACTGTGAACAGTTGGCTGTTAGTAGATTACATCACACTGCTTGAATATCACATGTTCAAGCAGTGTGAACATGTGATGCTTTTTATGATGGTCAAGAATTTTGAACAGTAAAAAATGTATTTAATTGAATCAAGTTAAAATATAAAATATAAAAAAAAAACTTTCTTTTCTCCTGTATCTTTCAGATTTGCATAAACTAGATTTAAAATTAATTATAGTAACTCAAGTAAAAGATAATCTAGAAAAAGTTGCAAGTTCATTCAAATCTCAAATTGTTTTTTTGTTTTTTAATAGAACAATTTGATTGATTGATTACTAGAACAATTTTCTTATTTACATTCATCATAGTAGAGAAGTCATTTTTCTGTTTCTTTTATTAAGAATATGTTAAACAATGGTGTTAACAGAAAAAAGAATCAAAAAGTTACCTAAAAAAAGTCATTAAATTTAATTTTGTGTGGTAATAGATGGTAATGTAATGATATAAAATTATTACCAGCAGCAATAAATGATATTATATTCTTAAACAAAATAGATGGTTTCTATTTTACGAAATTTTATTTATTAATTATATAATTATTTTTTTTTGTAGCTTAATGTCTAGATGTTTTACACTTAAAGACATTTTTCTATAATATTATTTCTTAAATAAAAACAGCATTAGAAAAAGCTTTTGCAATATATTGATGTTTTTCTTCTGTACTTATCTATACTTATAAGGTTTTCTCATTTCTATCTCAAAACAGTTTTTTTTTTACTTTTAGAAAATTCACAATAATAGTGTTGCCCTTGGAATTTTAAAAAATCATGGTTTGAATTTGTCAACAGGTAATTTTTTTTAATATACCAAATAACATGTTTTTATATGCTTAACTTGTTATATACCATAGTGTTGTTATATACCTTAGTGTTGTTATGTACCATAGTGTAAATTTTACCACCACTACCACCACCAGGTGACTAGATTTCAACATTTTGAAAATTATGACTATTCCTTTTTTTTTTTAGAACCTAAAAATGTTGTTGATGGCCACCGTGAGAAAACATTAATGTTACTCTGGCAAATAATATTTCATTTTGAAGTATGTTGATTACAAATTTAGGATAATTTTACAACTTTAATAAAACCATGCATAAAAAGAAGATAAATTATATATATATATATATATATATATATATATATATATATATATATATATATATATATATATATATATATATATATAAATATATACATATATACATATATACACACACAGGTTAATATGCTACTTGATATAGAGAAACTAAAAGAAGAAATTGAATATCAAAAAAAAAGGTTGCAAGTAAATAAAGAACTGGCTTCACTCTCTGAAAGTCTTCCTGAATCACATGGTGAACTTATATCCGCTTATGAAAAGTCAGAAAAAATGACTCTTTTATTAAATTGGTGTCAAATTATATGCTCTCATTATGAAGTAAAGGTATTGAATTTGGATTATATTACTAAATTTGGTTTTACTATGGTTTATTTTTGTCAAAGTATTTTTATAGGTTGAGAATTTTACAGTTTCATTTTCGGATGGCATTGCGTTGTGTTGTTTGGTTAATTATTACCACCCAGATATTCTTCCAACATCACTTATCAATCACGAGACTACACTTACCCGTAATATTGCTTTATGTGAAGAGGAAGTTGCTGGTGACTTTTTTTATGAAAACTGGACAAAGTGTTTTAGCCCAAGTATGTTAACTTAATTAATGCCCCATTATTCATTTAAAAAAAAATGAATAAATATGAAATAAAAATTATATCACCATAAAAACTATTTATTTTTTAATAAATTTTTTGTATTAGCTTTTTGTATTGTCAAACTTGATTTTTTTACCGATTTTTGTGATCATGATTAAAAATATTTGTAATATTGTTTTGACTTTGAAAACTTTTGTTTCATGACATAAAACACAAGTTATACATCTACTCTTTTGTTGTGATATTTTTTTATTTATCATTTTATCTCTATGCTATATTAGTTTTATCTTCTGTTAGTTATTTTTACTCTAAGATGCCTTAAAATTTCTTATTCTTTTTGTTCTATTTTCTTGAGCTTTCCAAGATTAAATATTCTAAATACAAAAATAAATTGAGACTAAATAATTTTCAATCATAATTTTTTTTTTTCAAATAAAAACAAATTTTTTTACAAGGCCATGTACAAACTTTGTTTAAAAAGTTGTTTGATCATATCAATTTGCTGTTCTTTCTTACCACAATAAAGAAAAATAATTGAACTATTTAGATACTGGTATAAACAGAAATTTAGAAATGTTGCTTATGAATGAGAAACATAATTACAGAGTGCTTAATCAAGCTGTAAGTCATAAATTATAAATGATTCAATTTTAAATTAACTTTAGTGTGTTTCTTTTTAATTTATTTACACTATGTAATTTTAAAAGTATTAGTAATATTTTATATGAACTAGGTACAGGATTTGGGTGGCATTCCTTCTATGTTAAGGAGTAGTGATATGTCTAATACTATTCCTGATGAAAAGGTATTTATTTACATTATTTACATTATAGCACTTTGTTATAGAAGCCAACATTTTGATGATTTGTTGTAAAATATTTTGGGTTATTATCATGGTTACTTTTTAATAAGTAATATGCAAATATATTTGTTTTGATGTTGTCTATCTTATTGATATGGTCATATGATTTGATATTTCATATTTAATGTTATTACTTTTAAGTATTTGCTTCTTTTAATAATTAGGTTGTAGTTACATATGTTTCTTATTTGTGTGCACGTCTGTTAAATATAAGAGAAGAGACTCAGGCTGCAAGAAAAATTCAGCTATCCTGGAGAAGATATTCCCTGAGGAAGCAAAGAAATTTACTTAAGGTTTTTTTTTTTTTTAAAATACTTTATTTAATTTGTAAACAGATCTATAATGCTTTTTTTTCCTCTTGTGTTTGATGAATAGATTTTAGGACACTGAATATGAAAAAAAAGATTTAATTTCTTTATGTTCAGATTTTTAATTACAAAACATTTAATTAATTACTATTATCAAATAGACATCGTTATTGAATAATATTATTGACTAGCTGATCTAACCCGTGAAAATATGGGTCTTTGTAAGTCTATTCCACACTGAACTTTTCTATACTTTTTCCTTATATATATCCTAGCTTTTCAAACCCATAAATTATATGGGTCTTTACCAAATCTACTATTTCTATACTTATCTATTCCACACCAATCTTTACATTGGTCAGATTGGACATGCCAATACCTATTATTTGTTTACTTCAATATTTTCACATAAAATAATTTATTTTGAAAAAATTCCTTTAAGAGCGAAAAGGTTGACATGTGCACCCTTTCAGCATACCTAGTGCTTATAAGAGATTTATAATTAGGCATATCATTGGTAGCTCAGTGGTTTAGTGTGCTGTCACTATTGTCATTTTTGTGGATTTAAGACATCCCCTAATAAATTTTGAAAATTTTTTATTCTTGCTGCATTTATAGCAATATTTATAGCAAAAGTTTTATAACAGTATCGCAGTTTATTGTTATTTTATAATAGCAATATTCTTTTATAATAGAATAGCAGAACTAAGAAGATCTTAGAGCATTATAAACTATAGACTATAAAACGCTAAGGAATCACCCAATACGAAAAGCTAAATTTATTTTTAAATAAGTAAAAGAGATCTTCAGTTCTTTAGGATAGCATTTTTCATTAAACTTAATGAGTTTATAGATTTTTTATTTAATATATGACTCTGCGAGGAAAAATTTTCATCAATTTTGTTTTCTTCAATTGTGAAATTTAGTGTTGCATAATTTATGGATGATCCCTTATTTTAATGTTTAGTTTCATTAATGTTTTTTCATTTGTTAAAGTGCATAACATCGTTAGTTTTTATAAAGATTATATATTTGTATATAATATTTATAGAAACTTCATGTGTTTTAAAAAAATTTTAAAAATTAAAAAAAAAAAAAAAAAAGTCACCAGTGGTAGGATCTAAACCGTAGCCTTCTTGTTCAGAAGCTCAGCACGCTACCCACTCGGCCATGATGGCACATTGGTCATAGAAATTTTAAAACTATATAAAATTTGTTTTTAACTGAAATGAATGCTGTAGATAAAAATTAAGAAGAGATTGACGCAATACAATTTTTAAGTAAAAGTTAAACTGTAAAACTTGATATATGTTTAAGTATGTTTTAAATTATATAATATGAAAAATATTAGATTTTCAATTACAATATATGTTAGTTTTCTTATCAAAAAGTATGACATATTTGGTATGTGTGGAAAGATTATTTTAACCACTATTATAATCTGGTAAAAGTAATGTGACTAAATTGTCAAATAAATCGTTAAACAAATCGTCAAGCGTAGTTTTATTTAGAAAAGATGCAGTTTTCAACATAAAGTACCTTGGGGCTTGGCTATAGATAAGTCTATAAATTTGATTTTTTTATAAAAGCACATATTGGTACTTGTTTTCAATGAATGTAATTTGACATTTCACTTGAAATATTTGGGACTTATTCAGCCATCTTGAAATAAATTATTCCATTCAGAATACATAAACAATAAAAAAAAGGTGGTAAACTTTTTAAATAAATTACTTTCAATTCAAATTCTTTATTTGCATTAATTAAATACCAATAACTAAAAAGTTTTTCTGTTTGCCACTAACAACCATGTAACTTGACATTTTTAATCAGACATTTGGGAAAATTATCCATGAAAAAGCATTTTTTTATGAAAATTGAAGTTACTATTTTCAATACCACACCTAAATGAGTATGTTTAACAATAATGTCACATTTGATTTAGATGGTAGTGTTAATATTTCTACCAAAGTCTTTTTTGCATAAATAATCATAATTTTTAGCCCCATTTTAAAAACTGTATTCAGTATTTAGTATCATTTTTTGAAATACTCGGGACTTATTCAGCCATCTTGAAATAAAAAATTATTTTATTCAGAATGCGTAAACAATAAAAAAACAGGCGGTAAACTTTTTAAATAAATTACTTTTAATTTGAATTTTTTGTTTGCATTAATTAAATACCAATAGCTAAGAAGTTTTTTGGTTTGCCACTAACAACTAATCAAATTTGTTTTAAATTATCTGCTTTTTTTTTTACGTTTTTTTTTTTTTTTACGTTACTCACGTTTTTATATAAACATAGATCACGTTTTCTTATAAACATAGATTCCGGGAATTCCAGAACTTCACCTAAAACTCCTTTAATTTTCCAGAAATTTCCGTATGCTTTTTGTTATTAATTTGAAAAAAAAAATATGTATTTTTACATAAAATTTTAAATACAACAACTATTTGAAACAAATAAGTTTTCAATTGAAACAAATAAGTTTTCAATCATTAAAATTTTCATGAGATAAATTTTTGTAACCATTTTTTTTTTTTTCAAATTATCTTTTTCAAATATTAGAAATTCCTTTTTGTAAAAAATCTAAATTCCGTTTTAAAATTTTACGAAAGTTTTTGTTGTCTGTTAATATGATCAATTTTTGATAAAATAGTTTTCTGGGATTTTCATTAAAAAAATTTCCGGGAAGTCAAATACTCATCTATGTATAAAGCAAAGCTGCGACTCTTTCTTGCCAATACCTCGGTTGCAGTGGCTGCCAAGGATTTTGTGTCAAACAGGCTCTAAGGGACACTACTACTAATAAAACTATTAAGTTCGACAATAATATATATAGAAATTAGTGAATATTATTGAAAACTTCAAAATACATGCACTTTATACATTCTAATCATCAAAAGTTGGTTAAAAAACAGTATATAGAATATAATATCAGGTTGTCTGATTGGTCATGAATTCATTTTTATTAATTTCTCTAATCAATTCACCAGGCCATCAGTCATTTTGACTATCAAAATGTCTGATGGCTTAGTGATTTGATCAAAGAATCTCATTGTGTAAAAAAAGGTGAATTTTTAGATTGTTTGCTAACAAAATTATCAAAAAAATTATTTTCAGAAATGATTGTTATTAGAGATCATATATACAGCATGTATTCAGGAGCTCTAAAAATTATCCTTACAAACCTATAACTTACAATCATCTGTTATAATGTGAACCCTATGATCACTAGCTACAAATCCAAATCTTAATAATTATGTTATTTGTGTACTTTGTGCTGGATATTGCACTAACATTGCCTCCTTACTTGATGTAAATCAAATTAAATCTTTTAGCAGTAGCATTTTAAACTTGTTAATATATACATTTCTTTGGTGATATATAATGCTTTATTATAGAGAGGATTGTAGCCTCCTCGACTGTAGTGGCTTTCTTGGCCTTGAGGAGGTGAATAGTTCAAAATATATAAAATATAAAATACCAACTTCATGTAAAAATATGATTTGTTAAATTGCGGTTGTTTATTTATATATTTTTATAATTTTTTATAATTTTTACTAAAAAAACTGTTTTCAGAAAGTGTAAAAATTTCCAATCAAATATAAAGTTTATGACTTTTTTTTACCTGTGGTTCTTTATGTACTAAAGAATTTTATTTGTTTTAAGTGCATTATAGAACAATAAGCTTGTTTTCAACTAAGAATATCCATTAAAAAAGATTTGAAAATGTTTCAATCAAAGTTGAAAATAAACTAAATATTTTTATTAATTTAATTAAATTAATATAATATAATGCTTAACAAGAGATATAAGTTATCCCGCTGGATGTGGTTACAGCGCTCAATAAACTAATGACTATGCTGACACTCACGCACACGTTCAGTCGGAAGCTCCACAATGCACGTCGGATCAGCGCTCGCTGACTATGTGCTCGGATCACAAGGTTAGACAAAAAATGATTGTTTTTCTAGAACTATATTAGTTTCTAGAACAAAAAAAAGCAAGCAATTGGTTATGCAACTAGTGATGCAAGAAATTTAGGTTTGCCTCCACTTATAAAATTATGTGTGCTGAAACAATTTATGATTAAAAAATTGCTGATTAAAAAAGAAAGATTTTATAAATCTCTCTAACAATCTTTTCCAGCGAATTCCAATATGTTTGAAGAATTTTTTTTTATACACAGATATGTAAATATATATGTAATAGTAATGGTATTTAAAATTACTTAATTAAAAAATTATTAATTAACAAATGTAAAAATTGTATTAATTAAAAATTGTTAATGCACAAATGTCTGTAAGTGTAAAGGTCTTTAGCATAGGTTGAGTTTGAGTGGAATAATATGAATTGAATTTGAGTAGTTCATAATATATGTATAATAAATTTGTTTATAAAAATCTTTTTTAAGAAAAAAAAGCTGCAAGTTTAAAAATTATATTTTTAAATCAAAATATTTTTTAGTATTTTTTATTATTCCGTAATAAAATTATTTGTTCAATTTATTTAGTAAATAAAGAACCACAGGTTAAAAAAAGTCATAAACTTTATATTTTATTGGAAATTTTTACACTTTCTGAAAACAGTTTTTTTAGTAAAAGTTATAAAGTTATAAGCAGCCGTGGCGCAGTGGTAGCACACTTGCCTCAGAAATGTAAGATCCTTGGTTCAAACCCTGCCTCTGGGCAAGTTTTGCGACATCGGTTGGGAAGGAGGCGTGAACTTCCTATTAAATGCTCTTCCGTGGTGCTCTGTGATAAGACCGTAAGGACTTCTTGGGGTACCTAAAATCATATATAAAAAAAAATATATAAATAAACAAAAAAATAAAAAAATAAACAACCGCAATTTAACAAATCACATTTTTACATAAAGTTGGTATTTTATATATATTTTAAATTATTCACCTCCTTAAGGCCAAGAAAGCCACTACAGTCATGGAGGCTACATTTTGTAATTACAATCTTCTCTATAACTCCGAAACACAAACCTCAATGAGCAAGGTCTGCTGCTTGGAGAAACAAGTTGAGCGTGGTACTTCCAGGGATGTAGTGGGGATCAAACTCAGAACTTTTCGCTTATGAGGTTGGAAGTAATTACTTTTGTTAAACTATTTGCTAAAAATTCTTATTTAACATTTACTAGTTTTTAGTTGATGTTTTCTGTTTAAAATTAAAAATAAAAAAATACGGCAATAATATCTGAACCACTAATAAATTTATCTAACTTACCTTAACTTTCCCTCTTTAGTAGAGATCTGTTTGCTAAAAATTATGTCACAGTTTAACAATCTGGCAAAACCAGTTTTTATATTATATTTAATATATTATATAGTAAAAATAAACTTAGTTTGCCACGGCTCGTGCATTTCACTAGATTTCTTTTTATGTTATTTAACTAGATTTCTGATTAAGTTAACAATCAGCAGCTAGATATTATTTCATTGTATTTCATTTTCATTTCAAACTGCTTTTTATCAACAAGTTAAATTGCTTCCTGTTTTTAGTTTTATAAAGTTTTTTTTTTTAAATCAAGAAAATGCAACCAAAAAATTAACGAGTTTTAAGAATTTTGAGCAGAAAATTGAATAAACGTGTGGCAAATCTTTATAATTTATATATTTTGTAATGATATTTTATTATTTATATTTATTATATTTAATATTGTTTATTATTTGTACAATTTCACTTTTTACAAGTACCTGGCTAAAATGTGTTAACTAAAATATTCAACAATTTCTGTATTAATTTATGTGTGCATTAGTTCATTTTTAGGTAGAATTCCTACTGTTATATTATCAATCTTCATACTAATTACTAAAGCTATGTAAATATTAATGTAATTCAAGTTATAATAGTACTTTTATTATTACTTTTAATTTTTATGTACTCTTTATTCATATAGTTATATACATTGAATTATTATTCATATGGTTGAATTGTTAATTATTAATTGTTAATTATTGTTAATTATTCATATAGTTGAATTGAATATATGAATTATTATTCATATATTGAATTATTATTCATATAGTTATATACATTGAATTATTAAAAAATTAAGAAGGGAGACTTACCTAAACCCATTATTATCAACCTCACATATATTACCTCATTTATATGAATATTTTCTGTGAAGAGCTTATTGTATTTTACTTTGTTTGTTTGATGTATTTTTTGATCATTTTGTTTTTTGAAACAGAAAAATTGTTGCATCAAAATCTAGCAGATAAAGTTAAAATATTTGAAATACCTACCTCCCCGTGACCCTGTTCCTTATTTCTATGTAAATAAATATTGTCTTAATGAGAGAGGTGATTTTTATTATAGCCTTAAATTTCAAAAAACACCATGTTACACAATTGCCATCTATGTTTGAGATACTTATGTTATGTGTTTATGTAATCAATTAGGTAAATCTCCACATCTAATACTGTAAAAAGACAGTTTTTTTTCTTAAAGTAGTAAGATATTAAATTCTTTTGAAATAAATAAACAGGGTGATGGTTCTAATACACTTAAAGGATGATGAAAATTTTTTAATACTTTAAGAGTGAATTTAAATGAATTATATTTTTAATGTTTACTATAAAAAGAAATGGGCCTAGGTTAGTTTATTTGACAATTTCATTTTTTTTAAACTGTTTGTGATAGGTAATATAATTCCGTGCCAACATGTTTTATAGATTTATAATGATTATTATAGTTCCATTAGTGACTAATTATGGGTTTGATTTGACCATTAATGACTAATTAAAGCTGGATTTGAGAAAATTTGAAAAAAAAATTTGAATTTTTTTTAACATGTTTACACCCAACAAGACTGCAGGCATTCACCCAACAAGGCTGCAAGCAATCACTAATTAAGTGCTGCAAGCAATCACTAATTAAGTGTTACAAGCAATTACTAATTAAGTGCTGCAAGCAATCAGTTGTGAAAACAATGATGAAAGTTGTAATGCAAGCAAACCCACAGACTTGAAAAACTGTAAATTTTATGTGTCAGGAAAGCATAAAAACAGATAATTAGTCATGCAAAATTGAGTTTTGGTTAATGAAACAAATGTTGACAGCTTCCATAATTAGAAAGCATAATAGTGCTTGTAGAAAAAAGAAAGAGATGTAACCATACAACAATTGAACAGAAGCTCAAAGCTTCTGTTCAATTGTTGCTATGGTTAGAATAAGTCCAATAACATTTAGACTGCATATGTGAAGCTGGTCTAAAAAAGACCTAGTTTAAAAAATGTTTATTAACTACAGACTTGCCAAAAGTAACAAAAAGGCTATTTGGGCAATAATTAGAGAGGTTTTATTCTATCTCCAGAGTTTTTAAAAATTGAAACCACAGATGCAGTTTTCCAGCAAGTAGGAAAAGACACTTGAATTTAGAGAGCACTTGAATTTCACTTGAATTTAGAGAGTAGTAAAGAGTCTGGAGAAAACTTTTGTAAGACTGCATGTCTTAAGATTTTCCATGACCCAGTCAGTTACTATTAGTAAATAATATCAAACATGATGTGAATTGCTGTTATTTATAACATTGTTATATGTTCATATGTTTCTTTACTTTTATATGTATAATCTAGCTAACAGAGTTGAACTATTCTTAGGTTTATGAAACTGCTGCTCTCAAAATTCAGGTAAAATTAAGTTCTTATTTTATTTTTATTTTTTTCAACTTGTTGATTTTTTAGACTATGAACTATTTACTAAAAAAATATTTACTAAAGTTGTTTCAGAGGACTGAGTTTATAATTTTATTTTAATTTTATCTTGAAGGATTTGATTTTACCTATAAAAATATTTTTCAATAATGAAGCCATTACTAGTAATACAAGTAGTAATAAAAACTAACAAATAGCTGCAGGCTTTTTTTATATGATAAAAATTTTTATGAAGAACTGGTATCGTAAGCATCATAACAAACGTCGTAGTGCTCAGCACACTTATGCAGTCAAAGTTATTCAAAAGACTTGGAGAAGTTATAAAGAAAGATGTTTATGTAATTTTAAATACCAAGCTGAACGTGAAAATAATGCAGCTGTTGTAATACAGGTTTTTACATTTGTTACATTGTTCTTACTTAAGCAATAAACATTTTTTTTAAATTTATTTCTTTTTTGAATATTTAACAGTTTAATTTTTTTAACAGTTTTTTTTACTTCGCTTATTGTTTTTTACTTAAATTGTTTTTTTTGTTAATTTTTTTTTTTAATTAAACTTTTTTTTTTTTAACAATTTATATTAATTATATCAATTAACTATATTTACTTAAATGTTTAATTTAACTATAATTATACTTTTGTTCCAATATATTTTTTAAAATTTTTTTATTGTTATTTTTATGAACCTAATTCTCATCTATTTCTACAATTAAACATGAGTCTTTGATCAACAAGTTTCTCACATCCCATCACATCATATCCCATCACATCTCATCTTGAGTCTAATAACTTACTGTCAGACAATTGTTTTTTTGGTTTTCAATCCTCTTGCTCTACTTAAGACCAGCATGCCAAACTTTGTCAAAACTTTATGTCAAGAGCATTAACCCTAACCTCCATGGAATGCACAATAAAATCATTCGGTCACAGTAGTTAGCAAGTCAGCTAACTTCTGTGACTGAAAGATTTTATCATGCATTCGATGGAGGCAGAGAGGCTAGGATTATTGCTTTTGACAAAGTTTAGCATGCTGGTCTTACTCCATAGCCTTGCTTAGTATGGTGTATCTGTGAAAGTTTTTGAGATTATCAAGTTGCTTTTAACCGCTTTATTAAAGCCATCCTCAAAAGCCAACACTTTTCTTCATTTCCAGTAACTTCTAGCATACCTCAAGGTTCTATCCTTGGTCCTGTTTGTTTCTTATCTACATTAATGATCTTTCTGACAACCTCGCATCTAAAGTAGCTCTTTTTGCTAATGGTTTCACTTATCCTGTCTTGACAAAAAGACTTCTCTTTTCATTTGTTTATAACAGGCAGCCAATCTTAAATCTGATGTCACTTCTGTAATAGATTGGGGCTTGCAGTGGCTCGTGAATTTTAACTTCAACTTAGTTGTTTACTGCAAGCAACTATTGCAATACTGTTGACATTTCTATATTATTGAATGGCAACCCTCTCACTAAGTCCTCTTCTTTATGTCTTCTTGAATTATTGTTGACTACTGATCTTACATGGAAATCATATATACAATCGATTGCTAAATTAGCATCTACTAAGGTTGCATCTTTTATCATGTTTGCTATTTTCTTACTCCCAATTCTATTCTCGATCTCTAGAATTCTTTTATTCGTCCCTGTATGGAATATTGTTACCATATTTGGGCTGATTCTATTGATGTTGTTCTTTTTTTTTAGACAAGGTCAAAAAATGCATTGTAAACTCAGTTGGACCCACTCTACCTGCTCTATCTCTTTCTGATTGTCATAAAATTGTATCTCTTTCTCTTTTCTACAAATACTATCATGGTCACTGTTTCTTTTACTGTATCTGTCCCTGCATGCTCTAAAAAATTTTATTTTTCTAGTCTCTTTTCCCGCACTTTAACCTTTTGGAACTCTCTCCCATCTTTATGTTATCTTGACTTATACAACCTACAACTTTTCAAAATTTCTGTCAGTTTTTACTTTGCTCTATAGCTCTATTATTTTTTATTCTAGTAACTCGCAACTTAATAGTAATTGCTTGCAATCTTACAAATAAAATAAATAAATGTTGTAGAATATGCTGTTGACAATCTAACGTTATGCTCAAATTTCATTTAGAGCTATGTACGCTGTTATTTGGCTCGCCTTGATTATCTTTTTTTACGTGGTTGTATTATACTATGTCAAAGTGTTGCTCGAAGATGGTTTGTAAAGCAGGATCTTATCAAAAAACGAATTGCAGCCTCCATTATTCAATCTTGTTTTAGAGGTTATTTACATACATGTTATTTAAGGTAAGTTATATTTTTTCATTCATATTTCAAAGAATTTCTTTATTTGATTTTGATGATATACATTATGAATGTCACAAAACATCGAAGAGCTGGTATCTGAATGAAAAACATTTCATAAAACATAAAAAAAAAGTAATATATAAATAAAAAATGTAAAAATTGCAACTTATTAATAATCTATGGAAAAATTTAAAAAAAGCCAACTAATGGCAAAAAAAGGTCTCCAAAAACCAATGCACTGAGCATATTGGTCTTAATTATGGGTTTATTGATGTCTCTAGCTTCCCAACTGCTTTTGAAGCAAATTAAGTAATATAGGTAAATTTATAACACAATGATAATCAAGAATGTGAGTCTAGAGTCTGATGTTCCTTTGCCTTTACTTAATGTGATGAGATCTAAAAAATCATTGAAAGCTGAGTTTTTCCCTGAAAATTTTTTTTTAATTGTTTAGTTTAATTGTTGCCAATCTTAAAGTTAGTTTTGAGTAAATATTTCCATGCTGAAGCAGGTTAATACAGACCTACCATCAGGGCTGACAACACAGGGGAGGGGGGGGGGGCTAAATTAATACATACCTGCCAAATATAGTGATACTTTAAAATAACTTTTTAAAGTATAAAAGAATTAAGTAAAATATGACCAAATAAAGCTTTATAGATGCTTATATTTGCTTAAGTAAACATTGGCACAAGTATTACAAATGCTTATATTTGCTGAAGGTGTTTTATATATAACACAGTGCGTTAAATTGACCACCAGGTTTTATGTTATTCCACTATGAGTGTATGTTATTCCATTATGTGTGTATGTTATTCCAATATGTGTATGTTGTTCCACTATGTGTGTATGTTATTCCACTATGTGTGTATGTTATTCCGCTATGTGTGTATGTTATTCCACTATGATTTTTTTTGCTTCCTAAGAAGATACCTTCTAAATTTTTTCAAAACAAAATTTTTAAAATCAAAGGGTGTCAGAAAAATTGCTTTTTATAGGCACCCTTACTTCTAAAAAGGTGGTGTATGTGTGCTGAAAAAACCTTTTATATATATATATATATATATATATATATATATATATATATATATATATATATATATTTTTTTTTTTCTTTTCTTTTTGTAATTTGATTACATATGTAATTACTATAACCATAATTAAGTTCTTTAATTATTGGTGAGAATCTATGATAAAACATTTTCAACTCCAACCCAAAGTTGAAATCTAAATTTTTATTTGTATTATTTTGTAGGTTTTTTAGCTTGAAGTTTAAAACATTTTCTTTGCTGTGATTCTCATAAAATAGAACCAATCATATTTATATTTTTAACAATGAATATAAACTACTGAAAAACTAATTAGTTGTGTGCATGAATATTTAATAGTATAAGGTAAATTAGAAAAATAAATAAGTAATTATTAGGAGAAATAATTAATAAGACATTTATTTTTCAGTAATTTAACATATATTTTTAAACAATAAAACAACAAATGGTATAATATTAAACTCCATATATTACTATATTATTTTAAAAATTATGTTACGTATAAATAATATTTATATGTAACATATGGCTCAAATATTTTTGATTCGAAGTTTTTTTAAAATTTTTATTATAATCAGGATGAGAAGAATCTCTTTTTTCACACACATACATTATTTTAAATTTAGCATGAATTGCATTGCCTATTTGTTTGACAAGCTTACCTAGACCAAAAGATTGATGGATACAAAGAAATAATATGATTCATTATTATGTAGATTTTCCAAGTTGAAGGCAACATTTTGTCAAAGGTTTCTGCAAAAACTTGAGTGTGGCAAAATGAATTTTTGAATGTATTAATAACCTCATTAATATTTTTCTATAAGTAATTTTCAAGCAAGAATGTACAACTGCCCAAAAATCTTTTAAGCACTGTAGTATTATAATAAACTGACGTGAGACATCCGTGTTCAACAACTGGCGTGAGACATCCGTGTTCAACAACTGTAGTTTCTCCAATATATGCTTGGAGTTTGCTTTATCTCAACCAGATTTTAGTTATTTATCTTTTTAATTAATTCCACAGTTATTTATCACTTTAACTAATTCACAACAATTGCACAGATTATAATTCAACTACCTTCAAATGGTGAGAAATCTATATATCCTTATATTCAAATAGAATTTCTGGAATATAACGTCAAAAATTTTGCCAAATTTCTAAAAGTAAATCTCTTAACACATTTACACCACTCATTAAAAAAGTAAATCTCTTAATACATTTACACCACTCATTAAAAAAGTAAATCTCTTAATACATTTACACCACTCATTAAAAGTAAATCTCTTAATACATTTTCACCACTCATTAAAAAAGTAAATCTCTTAATACATTTACACCACTCATTAAAAGTAAATTTCTTAATACATTTATACCACTCATTAAAAGTAAATCTCTTAATACATTTACACCACTCATTAAAAAAGTAAATCTCTTAATACATTTACACCACTCATTAAAAAATGAAGTTCTAGTGAAGGATATTGAAAGTCTGCATCAGGATCAAGATAAATTAGACAAAGAAAATTAACACATAAGATAATATTGGTTGCATATTGTAAAACTGTTGCAGAATTCCATACTAAAAAACACATTAGTTAGTATTAAATATAATATATTGTTATAATATATATAATAAATCCAAATTTAAACCAATTAAAATTTTTTACATTGTTGAAAATGAACAAAAGTTGAACTTTTTGAACACCAACAACTAGATGTAATAAGCTCGTGTCTCTCTTTCATCAACATAAAAGACATATCTTCATAATCCCTCATCGGTAATCCATTAACACTCACACACGCGTTTTTTTAAGATTATTTTTAATTTTTCTTGTTATCAACTGAACAAAAATAAATGTGTCTTTCACAATGATAATCTTGCTTAACCAAGCAACCACCTCAAACACAATTAGTAGAACATCATTATTGGTCTCTAGATTTTCTTGTACTTCATTCAGTTTTCTGAATATATTGCTCTCAAAACTGCTTTGTACTATATCTTTCTACTTGAAACAAAATAATTTTGTTTCATTATTACTCAGTTCAATTGCAACTTGTAACTGCATAATAGCTTCAAGGATACTGATACTATGGTCCTACAAAAAAATTTAATATTTTTTACACCAGCTTGAATATATATGTTGTTAACATTCTAAAATTTGTAAAAACCTGATAAGGTAACAATTACATGCAAGTTAAAATAAGTACCTTGTTAAAAGTTAAAATTCGAAAAGATCTTCTTAAAACTTAATTATGCATATTTTAAAAACTTAATTATGCATATTTTGAAAACTTTTTGACAGACATTGATCATTTAAATTAATTCTCAGACATCTGATTAGTGCCAGGTCTATGTTTGAGAAGTATGTTTCTAGGGGTGTACCTGTAATTCTCAGACATCTGATTAGTGCCAGGTCTATGTTTGAGAAGTATGTTTCTAGGGGTGTACCAGAATGGAAATTTTAAATTTCGGTCAGAACCAGATTTGTCAATAAAATTCTGTCTTAATTTCCGGCCAGAACTACAATTATATTTACAATATTTTTTACCTTCAAGATTAAAGTAAAAGCCTGCATCTTAGAATTGTCTCTAAAATATATATATGTATAACCTATAATATATGTATGACCCAATTGATTATTTTGATTCTTATTTTTTTTAAATGTAATTTGTTGTTTTTATAATTTAATGTATTGAAAGTTTTAACCTACATAATATTTGTTTTTAAAATTATTTCTTTATTTTCTATTTTTCTACTTAGGTTAAAGTTTAAATATTTGTTTAGGCTTCCTATATTATTTTAACTATTTAAAATTTAAGTAACTTTTAACCGAGACTATTCTCAGAGGCAGGTAGCATTTTTGACAAAAAATGGAGAGCAGCTCTTTTTCTACCAAAATGTTCCTATACTTCCAGAAATCCTTACATAATTGATTATTGCAAATAAAATTACATTGTGTTTGTTTAGAAATTTGTATTTTTTGATTCTAAAAAAACTTTAACCAAGAAAAGAAAAAAAAATTATAAAAAAGTTTAGGTTTATATATTTATTGGGGTTTATATCAGAAAATATTTTATAATTGACTCTTACCAATAAATATATTCAAATTAAAACAAAAAAAAATTTTTTAAGTTTTTTTTTTCATCACACACCTAATCCACCCATTTAGGGTTCAGGGTTTCTATAAAAAGCACTAAATGTTTGTTTTACAAACATTTAATGGGTATCCTCTTGTGGAGCAATAAAAGTTCAGAAAGGGACATCACTCTATCTGAAAATTGTGATATTTGTAAAATTCAAAAAATAGTTTTATATGCAAATGCATTACTCTACTTGTTTCTTTGCGCAGCAGCCTTGTTCATTAAGGTTTGTGTTTCGAAGTTATAGAGTTGAGAGAGGGTTGTAACTACAATCAGAAAAAGAAAAAAAAAATTGTTGATCCTTGTTATTTTTTAGTTTTTTATATATATATATATATATATATATATATATATATATATATATATATATATATATATATATATATATATATATATATATATATATATATATATATATATATATATATATATATATATATATATATGAGGGTGGTCCAAAAAAGTCAAGTTTAATATATTTTCAGAGGCATGTTGTTTGTTATGTACATTTTGTTCAAAAACACCACTGTGCAAAATATTACATAGTTTGGACTGTATTTAGAAGTTGCTCAATGCTATCAAAGTTTCAAGCTATACATCAAATGAATCATATTATCAAAAAAATGCAAATTGCAGGAACAAATAAATGAATTTAATAAAAATTTAAATTTAAAAATGACTGAAAAGTTATTGAACATCAAAACATGCAAAAAAACGTGACGAAACTAGAACACAATCATTCACATCGTTCATTAATGTCAGAAAAGTCATTTTGCCCTTCCTGAAAACTTTCATCAACATTCCATTGGTCAGGAGTTAACTCCAAGAAGGTTTCATTGATTCTGAGTCGCAAGAATGCGGAAGAAGCAAGATCACTGAGGTTCATTGTCATTTCTTCTCCTTTTTTTGGAACCCACTTAATTTGATCCATATTTTTCTCCTTCTTTATTTCTCTAACAATATCCTCTTTTTCATCAATAGACAACTTGTTGAAAAAAAGTGAAAGGCCAACAAGGTCACCACCTAGATACCATAGATGGCGTAGGAAAGTTGTTAGGGTGGCTTTTGCAATCTTCTCGTTCACATTTTTGCAGCTGACCAAATCATTTAAAAGCGCCTTATCATTGAGGGCCGCCTCACAAGCTCGCGGAGCCTCTATCCAGATTCTAGAGTAAATCAAGATAATGAAGAGAGACACTTCATGTAGACCATTCTCCTCACTTTCTATCAGTTTCATTTGCTTCCGGAACAACAAGATTTTCATCACATAGATAGCCTTGGCCATCCACCTGGCGTGGTGGTATGCACCTGGCTTCCTGATTGGAGCATATAATTCTTCCGTCAGAAAATACAATGACAGTTGATACAGTCTGGCATAATCATCACGTATACTCTTTTGAGCCAAGCTAGACTGCATGGAGGTTATAGTGGCATCTTTCCAAATCTTTATGCTCATCTACTCTCGGATCCTTGGAAGCACTTATTTCATCTTTTAAGATGAAAGACCATTGTTCTCGAAAACGTTTGAATAGCTGAATATCTGATCCAGATGATGCAGCCATAACTGATTTAAAGGCTGTAGCCAAAATCAGCTCCATAATCTGATGTCTGCATGTAAGATGCATCAGAGGTCGGCCCAATTGTACCTCTATTAATTGGCAACAACCAGCATGGATTCCAGTGTTGGATGATGTTGTGTCAAAGAAAAGAGCTTCGATTCTTTCTTCAAGTTTCCACTCTCGAACAATCTTGACAGTTGCATTAGCCATGGCAGCCCGGGTACTCAATGATAACTTTGGTATTGCCAGCAGTTTCTTGAATTCAATATTTGGGTTTGAAACAAGAATTGGCAAACGATCCACCTTTAAGCCATCTCCATTTCCTGCAACTTTCCATCCCAGTGTAATACTAAAAAGGTATCCTTCTGTTGAACTTCATTGATAAAGGAATCCCTAACAGTGGCTGCTGTGATGGCCCTGCTATGTATCCTAGCATGTTGAACTGAGCTCCTGGAGGTTGATCTGTTGCTAAGAGGTGTTGCTTCTGAGGCATTCAAAATGTGAACAGCACGCCAGTCGGAAATGTTGCTACGGTCCAATGCACAAACCAACTCTGGAGTCATTTTTAATTTCTTGGGAGGAGTTGATCGCTTTGATCTCCGATTGCACCTTTAAGCTTTGAGCTTCCATTTTTCTTCTCTTTCTCTATTCGCTCTTTCATCAGATTCTCTCATGCTTGCATCTTTTCTTCTTTTTTTGCCAGCTCATTATCTTCTCCTGCTATTGCCATCTTTCTGACTGTCCTCTGGTCAATAAGGAAGTCCTTGTCTTCATTGATTGTGATGAGGGACATTGCATTCTTGTGAGATACATCAAAGAGTTGTGAAAGCTCGCCTTTCAATATTGTCTCACTATTGTTTTCTGCTAGTCAGTTTTTCTACCTCGATTTTTCTTAAGTTTTTGATACTTATCAAGAATCGTAACAAGTTTAGCAATGATTGCATGAATCTCCATAACTGGAATACGTGCCTTTGTCCACAAGAAAGCACTTTGTCAACAACTTTATTGCGATTCTCTTGACTGTTGATTCCAAAGAAGAAGATACGCTTTAAAACATCTTTTTTTGTTGGAAGGAATCGCTAATCAAAGTTCTCTAATGGTTGCCCAATCTACTATATTTCTGTTGCATTTCGCGTTGGTATATTTATTGCAGCTGTAGCCATTTTTTATTTTAAACTATTTGACCTGCAATAAATTATGCAAATTTTATTAAAATGAACGAAGAAATGTTAATTCAAAAAGTTAATAATTATAATATTACCAAATAAAGGTGTTTAAAATTGTATGTAATAATTATTCTAGAAATATACTAAGTATAGTGCTGACATCTACTGAATAAATAAGAAATTTCTACAATATTTCTACATTGATAATGAAACACAATGAATCAACACAACTAAAAATACACAGTCTGCACAAAAACTCTAGTTTTAAAAACTTTTTTGGCAAAACCATAAAACATTCTAGACTTTGAAACATTCTAGACTTTGATAAGGCATGTTGACTTTCTTTTTACCAAAAGAAAGTCAACATGCCTTATTAATTTAAACAAAATAAAAATCTACATGTTAAAATGGACCACCATAATATATATATATATATATATATATATATATATATATATATATATATATATATATATATATATATATATATATATATATATATATATATATATATATATATATATATATATATATATATATATATATATCAGGGTGTAAACTAGCCCTGTGGTGCCCCGTCAAACGCAGTTTTCCTAAATGTTCATAAAATTAAACTTACCAATTTAAAGATGAAAAAATTCCATTCTCCAAAAAAAGTTTCCAAATAAAAGTTTAATAATAATTTTAAAAATACTTTAAAATTAATTATTATTCAAAACTAATAGAAAGTAACATAAAAAAATTCTAATTCATTAATTGCGTAAAACATGAAATCAAATGGCCATTATTAGTATAAAAATTCAATTGCATAACTGCGAAAATTGGTTTCTTGGAAAAAACATCATGAGAATTGGGATTTTTGGAGCAATTTTAGTGATTTTTGTGGCAACTTGCAATAAAGTTTGAAAATAGTTTTTTGCAATGCATTCCAACTACAGCAAATATTATAAAAAAAAGTTAGCAAGAAATAAAGTATCCAAAAGATCCAAAATAATAACAAACTTGTTTGGTTAAACACCCGCAAGTCCTATTTCTTTAAAAGTTTTGCCCTTTTTGGCTAAAAAGTTAAATAACTTATTAAGTCTTACCGTAAACTCATTTTTAAGTAGTTCATGTATTTCGTCAACAAAAACATTAAGAAGGTTATGTCAGATACTTTTTGATCAGTTACGGTTATTACGGAAAGTCTTTTAGTTATTGTTTTTCTTTTTTTTGTTTGGTATTTTATATCAACTAGATTTGCTAAAGTTTTTTACGTTTTTACTGGTATTCTTTGATGCCACATGTGCAATCGCTTGCTAATAATATTACTCTTTAATTAAACAACATTTGTTGCTGTATTTGCTGAGACTTTGTGATTATAACTTTATTTCACTTTGTGATTTATGTATGAAATAAATTAATATTAATTATAAAATTGAACTCACAATAAATGTGAAATATGAAGTTTATGAGCTCCTGTTTACTATTTTTAAAACCTTATCTATTTTCAAAAAATTTCTTTTGATGACACAATTTATTACATGATGATGTAAGGGTTCGTTCGTAAGGTACATCAAGCAGAATTTAAATAATAATTAGAAGTAGAAGATCATTGGCTCATTGGAGATCGCTATTTTACTATATTATATTGAAAAAAAAAAATATTTAAAATAATACTCTTGAAATGAAAGCGGCGACAATATATAAAGATTAAAAATAAATCAAATTAATTATTCTCAATAATAATTAATATACACTGATTAGTTTATAATAAAAAAAAGATATCATTTCTAATATATATTAGGAATGATATCTTTTTTTATTATTAACTGTATATATATATATATATATATATATATATATATATATATATATATATATATATATATATATATATATATATATATATATATATATATATATATATATATATATATATATATGTTCGGAAATCAGTTCTTAGTTTGCCATGTCGTAAAACAACAGCTAATTTTGTGTTCATTTCATATTCATCTTTAATGATACAGATGGTATTTTATTTTTACTTTTAGCTCTGATCAATCAATATATGGAGCACTGAAGTAGAGTAGAAAGAAAAAGAACACCAAAAAAGGATCCCATGCTTTCCCAGAACATATTTTAATCTCAGGGGAGGAGGGGGTGATTGAGAAATACTTCGACAAATTCCCAATTTCGTTAAATTGCTGTATCAAATTTATTCCTGGTTAACACCCTGTGTGTATATATATATATATATATATATATATATATATATATATATATATATATATATATATATATATATATATATATATATATATATATATATATATATATATATATATATATATTTATATATATATATATATATATATATTTATTATATATATATATATATATATATATATATATATATATATATATATATATATATATATATATATATATATATATATATATATATATATATATATACACACATATATTCATATATCTATATGTATTAATAAACTATAATTAAAAAAAAAACAAGAAAACAAACATTGTAAAATATTATTTAAAAATTATAGCTCTACTTTTTGACTTTAGTTTTATCATTTGTTTAAAATAGCTGTAAGCTCAAAGCAATATTCAATATTTACTTAGGCCACTAGATTATGGCATTAAAATTATTCTTATATTGTTATAAAATTGGTTTTGATAACAATATAAGTTATAATTTTGTTGGCATTTTGATATTTGGTAAAAAAATGTTTAATTAGGTATTTTTATAGGATTATTCGTCTACTAGAAAATAGACTTAAATTAAGATTTTTTTATAGAGTTTTTTAATTTGAGAATTACTTAGAATTAATGAGATTTAAATTTTCATTTGTAGTTAAAAGAATTTAGTTATTTTCATTTTATTATTTTCCTGTAAAAACAAAAATATTATAATAGCTTATACTCTACTATAAGCGAAAAATAATAGCATTATATATAATTAATAAATCACACTGTGTTTTTAGGTATCAGTTTTTGCAACAAAGAGCCTCATCAATTGTTATTCAAAGAGCATTTCGCAATCATATAAGTAGAAAAAAATCCAAGTTAAAGTATTTTGAGTTATGTAACAGAGCTGCTTCTATTATTCAATCTCACTATAAAGGATTTGTTTGCAAAAAGCAATATAAATGTCTTAAATCATCAACTATTGTTGTCCAGCAACTAGCTAGAGGTTTAATTCAAAGAAAGAGGTTTTTAAGACAAAAACAGGCTGTTTGTATAATTGAGAGTTTTTATATTTCCTGCATTAAAAGAAGATTTGCTCAAAGAGAATATTTTACTATCCGAAAATCTATTTTAAAAGTTCAACAGCACTGGAGGCAAACTTTGTATTCCAGAGTTTTACGATATAAATACTTGCAAATGAAATTTGCTGCTATTCTCATTCAATCGTGGATAAAGATGACACTTGCTCGTAGAAAGTTCTTAAATATTAAAAAATCAGTTGTCATTATTGAAAATGCTTGGTTATCTTTTCAGCAAGGAAGATATGAACAGAGAAAATATTTGTGTTTAAAACACAGTGTTTATATAATTGAATGCAAATATAAAGCTATTCTTTTGATGAGGCATGAAAAAGCAAAGTTAAAAAACATTATCCAATCAATTGTTTTAATACAATCATGTTTCAGGTGTTGGTCAATTCGAAAAAAGTTTATAAATAGAAAAAATGCTTGCATTCTATTGCAAAAAGTTTGGCGTGCGTATTATGCCAAAAAGCTTGCACATAGAGAGTATTGTAGAAAAAAACATTCTGTTATACTATTGCAAAAGCAAGTCAGGATGTTTTTAGCAATGAAGGAGTTTTCCCTAAAAAAAAAAGCTGTTCTAACAATACAAAGCTTGTTTAGAATGTTTTTGTGTCGTAAAAAATATTTATTGTGCCTCAAAGCTGTTGTTTGTATACAGAGAAATACTAGACATTATCTTTTGAGATATAAAAGAAGAAAAGCAGCTATTAAAATTCAAGCAACACTGAGAATGTTTATTTGTTTAAAGAAATTTGCTAAACAGAAACACGCAATTCAAGTTATGCAACGCTTTATCCGAGTTTTTATATGTCGACGTGCATATCAGCATAAAATTGCTTCTGTAATTAAAATTCAGTCATTTATAAGAATGTGTATATCAAAGATGTTATTTAAAAAGCAAAAAAATGCTATCATTAAAGTTCAAGCTTTAGCGAGAAGATACATATGTCAGCAGCTGTTTTTTAAACATCGTAATGCTGCTATTATCATTCAGTCATTCTTCAGAATGTTACTTATAAAAAAAATCTTTTTGTTAAAGATTAAATCTGCAATACAAATTCAGTCTTGTTATAGATCATTCAATGCTTTTAAAAATTATAATATACTAAAGAATTCAGTTCTAAAAATTCAGTCATTCTTTCGGATGTGTATTTGCAAGACTAGATTTAATGTTCAAAAAAAGCATTCTATAGTTTTACAGTCATATATTCGAATGTTTTTGCAAAGAAAGAGATATTTACAGTTGCAACATACAGTTATTGAAGTTCAATCAAAATGCAGAATGAAAAGACAGAGAGATTTATATCTAAAATTAAGACAAAGCTCAATAATAATTCAATCTTTTTTTAGAGGTTACAGAGAAAGACATTTTTATGCTTTATCAAAAAAGAATATTATCAAAATTCAGTCGTATATAAGAATGTTTGTTGCAAGACAAAAGTATATTAGACAGCGAGTAGCCATTATTTTGATTCAGTCTGTTTGCAGAATGTCTGTTGCGAGGAAAGATTTCATAAGAAAAAAGCTATCATCTGTCAAAATTCAGACTGCTTATAGAAAGTACATAATTTATAATAAGCAAAAAAAGGCAGCTATAGTAATACAAAAAATATTTAGAGGAACAATGCATAGAAAGAAATTTCTTCAACAAAAGCAAGCAGCTGTACGATTTCAAGCATACTTTAGAGGATTGATTCAAAAAAATAAATTTATTCGGCAAAAGCAAGCAGCTGTACTATTGCAAGCATACTTCAGAGGATTGATTCAAAAAAAGAAATTTCTTCAACAAAAGCAAGCAGCTGTACTATTGCAAGCATACTTTAGAGGGTTCATTCAAAAAAAGAAATTTCTTCAGCAAAAGCAAGCAGCTGTACTATTGCAAGCATACTTTAGAGGATTGATTCAAAAAAAGAAATTTCTTCAACAAAAGCAAGCAGCTGTACTATTGCAAGCATACTTTAGAGGATTGATTCAAAAAAAGAAATTTCTTCAGCAAAAGCAAGTAGCTGTACTATTGCAAGCATACTTTAGAGGATTGATTCAAAAAAAGAAATTTCTTCAACAAAAGCAAGCAGCTGTACTATTGCAAGCATTCTTTAGAGGATTGATTCAAAAAAAGAAATTTCTTCAACAAAAGCAAGCAGCTGTACTATTGCAAGCATACTTTAGAGGATTGATTCAAAAAAAGAAATTTCTTCAGCAAAGAATTGCTGCTACTCAATTGCAATCTTTTGTGCGAATGTTTTTACAAAAAAAGCTTTTTAATCAACAAGTTACAGCTATAAACAAAATTAAAGCTTGGTTACAAGGTTATTGCCTTAGACAGCATTTTAAAAGACTTAGAAATGCGTGTACTCTATTACAGTCTATTTATCGAATGCATTTAAAGAGAAGACATTTTAAAATTCTAAAAAAGTCTGCAGTTATTATTCAATCTACATTCAGAAGCCACTACTGTTATTCAAAGTATGTATTTTTGAAATCTGCGGTTGTTAGAATTCAAACAAATTACAGAATGCATTGCTGCATTGTGAAATATAAAAGTTTACGAGTTGCAGTAATCAAAATTCAAGCTTTTGCAAGAATGGTTATATTTAGAAGTAACTATAAAAAATTGCAAAAAGAAGTGAAGAAATTGCAATCTTGGTGGAGAATGTGCTATTTACAGATTATTTTAAAAAGACAAACATCTTCTGCCATTAAAATCCAATCTATTTACCGAATGTTTGTTATAAAGAAAACTTATTTAAATAAAAGAAATGCAGCAATTAAAATACAGGCTTTTGTAAGAATGTTTATAACTCAAAGTAAATATAAAAAATTGCAACAGTTAAAATCAGCCACAACCATACAATTTTATTACCGAAGTTGGAAAGTTAGAAATGCTAGGAGAAAATTCATTTTAGAAAACTGTGTTACTATACAAAGATGGTGGCGCAAAAAGAGAGAAAATTTACATCAACATTATGCTGCAGTCATATTGCAATCTTGTTTTCGAATGTTTTTATTAAGACAAGAATATTTAAGAAAGCTAAAAGCAGTTTCAGTCATCAGAGGTTGGTATCAAATGCATCGACAGCGTTCCGTATATTTAAAATTAATTAAATCAGCTATAAAGTTGCAAAGTTGGTATCGTTCAGTTTTAGCACGCAATCGTTTTTTAATCATGAAGCGTGCAGCAATCACTATTCAGCTATATTACAGAGCATTTACTGTTGGATATCCAATATATTTATATTATCATGTTTACCGTGGTGCAATCATAACTATTCAAGCTGTTTATAGGGGACATATTGCAAGAAAACAATTTCAAAGAAAAAAGAAAAGCATTGTTGTTTTGCAATCTTTTTTTTTAATGGTAACTCAACGTAAAAGATATTTATATTTTCTATCCACTGTTAAATTTTGTCAAAATAAAATTAGATCAGTTTTGATAAGAAAACATTACTTAAAAATCAAATCATCAGTTTTAACTATTCAATCTTTTGTTCGTCAGCATATTGCGCGTTGCAAGTTTTATGCTGCACTAAAAATTCAATGTGCTTTTAAATCATTTCTTGCTGTTCAGCATCTAAAAACACTAAAGCATATAGACAAGAAAAATAAAGCGGTTCTTTATCTTCAAAGAACATACAGGAGAAATGCACTATGCAGAATCGAAAGAAAAAATTATCTTAGAATTCGAAATTCTACTATAGTCCTACAAAGTCACATTCGAAAGTGGTTAGCTTTTAAACATTATTCAAAGCTGTATAAATCCATATGTTTAATTCAGCGAGTTTGGAAAAGTTATAATTATACTAAAAAAATTTCTATTTGTTGTGAGGAAGTTTTAAATATTGTTCAAATTTGTTACAATTATTGTCAAGTTCGCACAAATGCTTCATTAAAAATAACTTCTTTCATGAAAATGATAGTCATGCAAAAAAAGTATCGCAAAGTAAAGAATTCTGTACTTTGTATTCAGAAAACATGGCGAAAGTTTGCTATAAAAAAGAAAACAAATGCAGTTAGAAAGATTGAGGCATGGTATATCCGTTCAAAAACAATTAAAAAAATGAAAGAATTACAAAAAGTAGAAAACGCAGCACTAGTAATACAAAAATCATATAGAAACTATTGTGTTTCTAAAAAAGAAAAACAAAAATATATAAGACTAAAGTCTTCTGTAATACTTTTGCAATGTGTGTTTCGCAAGAAATTAGCTTCCAAAAAATTACTCATTATGAAGCAAGCTGCAAATAAAATCGAAAACTGGTATTCATTATGCAAGCAGGTAATTTTAGGTTATTTTGTTATGTATTTAAATTATTTCATTATAATAACTAAAGAAAATTTGTATTTTTAATGGAAGATATAAATTTGTTTTAGAAACATCAAAAAAAAAGACAATTGATCTTACTAAATTTTATACGAGCCTCTTTATTGTGTCTTTCATTGCTCAAAATTCAAAG